TTTCCGGCGTATAAGACGACCCCCTACTTTTCCTGCTAAAATATAGGGTTTGAGCTATACTCGCCGTATAAGACTACCCCTCTTCCAACGCACACCAAATAAAAATGAAAAAACATCAGATTTGATTTCAGTATGGTATTCCAATGATGGGGTGCTATTCCTCCCACTGACACCAATGATGGGGCACTATTTCATCCACTGACACCAATGATGGGGCACTATTTCATCCACTGACACCAATGATGGGGCACTATTTCATCCACTGACACCAATGATGGGGCACTATTTCATCCACTGACACCAATGATGGGGCACTATTTCATCCACTGACACCAATGATGGGGCACTATTTCATCCACTGACACCAATGATGGGGCACTATTTCATCCACTGACACCAATGATGGGGCACTATTTCATCCACTGACACCAATGATGGGGGCACTATTTCATCCACTGACACCAATGATGGGGCACTATTTCATCCACTGACACCAATGATGGGGCACTATTTCATCCTGACACCAATGACACCAATTTCATGACACCAATGATGGGGCACTATTTCATCCACTGACACCAATGATGGGGCACTATTTCATCCACTGACACCAATGATGGGGCACTATTTCATCCACTGACACCAATGATGGGGCACTATTTCATCCACTGACACCAATGATGGGGCACTACCACTGACACCAATGATGGGGCACTATTTCATCCACTGACACCAATGATGGGGCACTATTTCATCCACTGACACCAATGATGACACCAATGATGGGGCACTATTCCTCCACTGACACCAATGATGGGACACTATTCCTCCCACTGACACCAATGATGGGGCCCTATCATTAGTGTCAGTGTGTGAGGAATAGTGCCCCATCATTAGTCAGTGGGAGGAATTTCATCCCATGACATTGGTGTCAGTGGGAGGAATAGTGTCCCATCATTAGTGTCAGTGGGGGAATATGCTCTATCATTGGGGCACTGTCAGTGGGGGAATAGTGGCCCATCACCAATGATGGGGCACTATTTCATCCACTGACACCAATGATGGTGCACTATCATCCACTGTGGGGGGGAATAGTGCCCCCATCATTGGTATCAGTGGGAGGAATAGTGCCCATCATTGGTGTCAGTGGGAGGAATAGTGTCAGTGGGAAGAATCCCCATCATTGGTGTCAGTGGGAGGAATAGTGTCCCATCATTGGTGTCAGTGGGAAATAGTGCTCCATCATTGGTGTCAGTGGGAGGAATAGTGTCCCATCATGGTGTCAGTGGGAGGAATAGTGCTCCCATCATTGGTGTCAGTGGGAGGAATAGTGCCCCATCATTGGTGTCAGTGGGAGGAATAGTGCCCCATCATTGGTGTCAGTGGAGGAATAGTGCCCCATCATTGGTGTCAGTGGGAGGAATAGTGCCCCATCATTGGTGTCAGTGGGAGGAATAGTGCCCCATCATTGGTGTCAGTGGGAGGAATAGTGCCCCATCATTGGTGTCAGTGGGAGGAATAGTGCCCCATCATTGGTGTCAGTGGGAGAATAGTGCCCCATCATTAGTGTCAGTGGGAGAATAGTGCCCCATCGTTGGTGTCAGTGGGAGGAATAGTGCCCCATCGTTGGTGTCAGTGGGGAGGAGGAATAGTGCCCCATCGTTGGTGTCAGTGGGGAGAACAGCGCCTCATCGTTGGTGTCAGTGGGGAGAACAGCGCCCATCGTTGGTGTCAGTGGGAGAGGAACAGTGCCTCATCGTTGGTGTCAGTGGGAGAGGAACAGTGGCCTCATCGTTGGTGTCAGTGGGAGAGGAACAGTGCCTCATCGTTGGTGTCAGTGGGAGAGAATAGTGCCCCATCGTTAGTGTCAGTGGGGGAGAGGAGCGGCTGCTCCTTCTTCCAGTTCGGCCGCTCGATTTTCGCATGCCACTCGTCTCCGCCTCCTCGCCGGCGATTGGTCGCCTGTGTGCCTTTCCAGTGCTGGCGCCCAATCACCGGTGAGGAGGCGGAGCCGAGCGGCCGCGTGACCATCCAGCGGCCGAACTGAAAGAAGGAACAGCCGCGCTTCCTGGACCGGATCGTCGTGGGACCGGAGCCAGATAAGGTACAGCAGCCCCTCTGCCCACCCCTGTACTTGGTGTCCGTTGGAGGAGGAGGGGGGGGGCGGCGCCGCCCCTCGAAAAAGTGCCGCCCTGAAATCGGCTCGCACCGGCGTATAAGACGACCCCCGACTCTTCAGAAGATTTTCAGGGGTTGAAAAGTCGTCTTATACGCCGGAAAATACGGTAACCACTTCCAGACCGGACACTTTTACCCCCTTCCTGACCAGGGCAATTTTCAGCTTTTAGCGCTATCACACTTTGAATGACAATTGCGCGGTCATGCAACACTGTACCCAAATGAATTTTTTACCATTTTTTTGAGATAGATAAAGCTTTATTTTGGTGGTATTTATTCACCACTGGGATTTGTATCTTTTTTGCTATGTAAATGAAATGTCCAAAAAATTTGAAAAAAAGTGTTTTTTTTTTATAAAATTTTGCAAATAAATAATATTTCATCATAAATCTTAGCCAAAATTTATTCCGTTATCTTTTTAGTAAAAAAAAAAAAAAAAAATCCAAATTAGTTTATAAGCAAAAATTATAATTTTTAAACATTTTTTTTTTTTTACATTTTTTTTTTTATTTTTTTTTTTTTATTATTATTTTTTATTTTTACATACTGTCACTTTAGCAGTACAGTGTCACCATGGTGACACTGTACTACTTGTGAGGGGTGATGAAGATTTTTTTTTTTTTACACTGATTGCTTTTACACCCATATAGGATGTAAATGCAATCATTTCTCTTTCTCTCTGTGTGCATTCTTGCACTCATTGAGAAGAACTGAGTGAGATGTGATTGGTCACAGCTTGTCACATGGTACAAGGCTTTTGTGAATAGCCTTGTACCATGTGACCTCTGTGATCATTCACAGATTTCACACATAGTAAGCAATGATGTCAGAAGTGACATCTTGCTTACTACTTTGCATGTGATCACTGATTGGCCAATCAGTGATCACATGATCGGGACCTCGTACAGAGGTCCCGTCCGACGATCGGTGTTTTCACTGTGTCCGGAGGACACAGCGGGCACCGGATCGCGGTGCTGCGCGCTCCCAGGGAGCGCGCACAAGCAGGGTGCGGGGAGGCCGTTTATAGACGGCCACCCGACCCTGCAGTGCCACTGTCCGGCCGTTTATATACAACGGCCGGTCGGGAAGTGGTTAAATGTAACAAATCTTACATGTTTCTTTTATCTTTCTGTTTTAGCCAAAATGTTATTGATAAACATTGTTTTTTTTTGTTTTGTTTTTTTTAAAGACTTGTTTACTCTTCAGCTGTCAGCTGAATCCCCCTGACAGCTGAGTGTTAAAGCAGAGCTCCAGTCAAAATGAAGAAAAAAAAAAAATCCACAAAACGTTTAGCTGCTGACAGCCACTCACCTGTCCCATTATTATTATTATACAGTATTTATTATTATCCCATGATCCAGCAGTGTGTTCACTCCGGCTGAGTTCACTGGCCGGTCTGTGTCCCTGGAGCCAACATCTTTTATTTGGGGTTCCGGCTGTAACAGCGTGCGGCTTCCCACTGCGCATGCACGAGGAGTGTTGCGCTTTGTGAATGGTCCCTGTAATGTGTCCCAGAAGAATTAAAGGGAAGGGAGGACAACTTCTGCTTCCAGTGACCTAGACGGTTGCAGTGGGATTGGGTACCTGTCAAATTTGGGTACCCCCTGCTTCCCAAGGGAGCAAATCCTTAACAAGGAGTGGGGGATAAAGCCTTAAAGAGGAACATCCCCTTTTGGGTGGTGCACCGCTTTAAGGATGCGGCGGCCGTTCTCCTTAGCCAGTAATTGCAGGCTTTTTTTTAAATTTACAGTTCAGCTGTCACTGGGGTAGTCCTGCTGACAGCTGAAAGAACCGAGCCTGAAGGTATCAGAATTTGCACAAGCGTGCAAATGCATAGTATTGGTACAACCCTAAGAAATAAAAAAGCTAAATGTTTAAAAACTGATACTTTATTAGTTGGTGCCAGTTTTCCTTTGAGCAATAAAGGGATATTAAATTTCTGTTACCATTTATCACCAAAATTTTTTATTTACCTTGTCCTGAAAAAAACAAGGTTTAATTTACCTGGAATAATTGCAGTAATAAGTAAAGTTTTTTTACTACTTACATGTCAAAGTTGCAGAACTGTGTTCAGCCATTAGGATTTTTTACCCTCTGTGATGAAGGTGTTGAGCAAGTATGCTGATCCCACTCCCTGATACATATGGTAAATGGGGGCATTTACAGGTTTTTTTTTTTTTTCTAAAATTCAGTTATTGGTATAAGTGAAATTAAAGTGAATCTAATAGTACAATTTTTATTTAAAAAAAAAAAAAAACAAAAACTTCATACGTACCAGCTCTGTGTAGTGGTTTTGCACATAGCAGCCCCGATCCTTCTCTTCTCAGGTCCCCCGCTGAGTGCTCCCAGGGCAAGCTACGTGCCATAGGAACACTTGTGCATGCTCATTTCTGAGCTGGTCCTGTGTGTCCATTGCATGCAAAAGGTCTTTTTTTACCTTAATGCTTAAAATGAACGTCTAAAGCGTCTGGGGTTGTGGGGCACCTGAGTCAAAGTGAAATTAAATTCTCTATTGATATAGCCAGGTGGTCATGTTGGATCCATGGAGTCCATGTTTTGATAAATCTCTTGTGGGTGTCAGAGGATGCTAGAGAGTTTTCCGTTTACCAGGAAAAGGTCTATGCCTTTAGAATTACTTTTATATAAAAAAGAAACTTTCTAGTAAATGCTCCAACAGTGCTTCAGAATGTATTTGTATTAGAAACACACATTGATCTTTATTTGGTTTAGTTAAATTTTTGCTTTCCAAAAGACTCCCAAGGATTTGATCTCATGGTATCTGTATTCCAGATCACACAAGGTAAAACAGCCTCAGTTCCATCATGGCTGACATCAAGAATTTTCTGTATGCTTGGTGTGGGAAGAAGAAGGTAACTCCCAATTATGATATCCGTGCTGCTGGCAACAAGAATCGTCAGAAGTTTATGTGTGAGGTAATGTCGCTTGTGTTAATTTACACATGTAAACATATTCAGTATATTACTAACATTGCAGAATGACCACTCTTTCCTTTTGGAATGGGTTTGGTGGTCTCATATTTTATCTGACTGGTTTTGGTCACAGTTGTTCATTCACCGTCATGGATATAGATCTACTTTGTGTGAGCATTTGCCCTTGCAAACCCAGATATTACTTGGTAATATTGCAAAGTAGCAGTGACCTCATCACTGGGCTGTATTATTATTATACAGGATTTATATAGCGCCAACAGTTTGCTCAGCGCTTTACAATATAAAGGGAGACAATACAGTTCAATACAAGAGGGTTAGGGTGGCCCTGCTCAACAGATGGGAAAGACATCATATAGAAGACCAGTCTCCCTGCACAAGGAGAGATCAGCTTGACCTGATTTATATCTGTAAATCAAACTTGGCCTATAAAAACGAAAATTAATACATTGTGGTTAGGCAACTGCAGTGTTCTTGCCACTGGAGAACAGCTGCATGCACACATTGTGTGTGAACAGCAATGGCGCAGCCTCCTGTTCAAATGAATGGCCAGCTGCACTGCTGTTTGAATATAACAGCTCAACCAAGCCTCTGACTGTCCCTGGATGCAGAGAATCTGGGGGAATGTAGACATGTTTAAAGGCTTTCTGACCATGTTTCATGCATATTTAGAAAAACTTTAAAGTTTCACTAGCTGTGCATAAACAGATAAGACAAAACTTCATGTTCACTCAAGCATTTCAGTGAAAAAAAAATCCATATTATCCCTCAAAATCTCCAACCTGCTGAAGTTTTATACTTGAATGTGATTGGTCACAAATACAGGCGGAAGTTCATAAGTGAAAGCAATTCAGTCGTCCTGTCTTTAGAGATTGTGTGGAGTTCTGCTTCTGCTCTACTTGAGTTTAGTTCCACTTTAAAACATTGATTTAGTGCAGGGGTGTCCAAACTTTTTTCAAAGAGGGCCAGATTGGATGAAGTGAACATGGTGGAGGGCCGAACATTTTTTCCGAATATTCTTTGAACCATTACAATTTAATGCAAATAAATTATTTTATGCCAAGTTAATTGCAAACAACATACTTTTCATTCATAACATTAAGATCAACTGACAGCTGAGTTTTCACAATGTATTGAAAATAAATTTAAAAAAAATCTTACCTGCACTAATGTGAAGGGTGAAAAAGGTAGCTGGAGCTGAAGTCTCTGCTCGGCAGCCAGGAGGGGAAGAGAAACACACTTCACGCTGGAAGCCCGGCCCTGACGTCACCGCCCTCTGTCGCTCCCAGCGCGGCGCAGTCACGCATGCGCACTGCTCTCAAGCAGAAGACTGTCTGCCACAGAAGGGAGGGCCGTGCGACAGCCGCATTTACACAGACCAGGGAGAACGCGCTGCAGTCAGGCATGCGCACTGCCCTCTGCTCTCAAGCAGAAGACTGTCTGCCATGCCATAGGAAGGGCCGTGGGAGGGCCACATTACACAGAGCAGGGAGGGCTGTTGGAGGGCCGTATTAAACCGACCCCCGGGCCGTAAATGGCCCGCGGGCCGGACTTTGGACATGCCTGATATAGTGGTTTATCAAAATGGTTACATTCAAGACATCTTGTGAATACCGGTCACAGTTGCTTGTACTCTCAACCGAACTGTCAAGCCATCAAATGGCTCATGTCATAACTAATCACAGTAATATGGCAGCTGCAAGTCAAACAGAGGCTAAGGTGGAAGCTTCTTTGGTGGTAAAGAATAGGAGGGTGTAGTTTTAGCTTTAAAGCAAAAGCCATTTCTCATTTGGTACAGTTAGCCATCCTTGTATTAGCAAGCACTCCCATCATATTAGAATTTGTTGCATTAACACAAGTTTCTTCCAATAGGTTCGTATAGATGGCTACAATTACACAGGAATGGGAAATTCTACAAACAAAAAAGATGCTCAGAGTAACGCAGCCCGTGACTTTGTGAACTACCTAGTGCGATTGGGAGAAATCCGAGGTGATGAAGTGCCATCATTGGGGGTTAGTAAATTATAATAGACCTGTATATTATCTGGTGGTGTTTTCTGTTGATAGAAGAATTTTTACACCTGCTTCGGATATGTGTTGCATCAGGATGGCCCTCTTCTCCTACCCTTGCGCCTCTGTAAAAAGTGGGCAGAGGAAGAGGTAGATCGCAGCAACCTATTTTTGAAAATTTGATTGGTATTTCAAATGTGCTTTGTTGAATAGCTCCAGTTTAGCAGTCCTTGGCTGCTGTAATAGAACTAAGGAGAGGAATTGTGCAATGCATCTGGTCTTGAGACCCAGCACTTTAATACATGCAGTTGAATGTGCCATGAAAGTGAATATGTAGTAGTAATACAACTGTCATTCTTCATGTGTTTATTGCAGGTTAGCCAGGGTGATACTACAGATGGATTCCAGCCTCTAAAGTCAGAGGAACAGGATGGCCCTACTGGCGGTCCATTACCACCGCACTTGCAGCTAAAAGCTGAAACTGACAGTAAGTCTTGTTCGAGGGGAAACTGTAGAACTTTTTGGTCTTCTATATTTTACATTTGTTGGAATGTTTACACATTTAAAAATAGAGCCTTACCTTTGGGGGGCATGGCCATCCCAGATTTTGGCCTCTATTATTTGGCAGCCCAACTCTCCCACTTCTGTCATATTGATAAAACCGAGAGGAAAAGGTTCTGTGCCTTAGTATCCGACCCAGAAATTCTGCCCGAGTTGCATCCGTTCTGTGTTATTATTAGAGGTATTCGGGGATCTACTGCACAGTTCTCCACTAAAGGAATGGCCTTCCATTATAAGAGAATTTGATATCTCTCCACTTCCACGATCAAAGCCCCGCAATTTCATATGGATACCCCACTTTGGTCCAACCGAATTGTTGCCTGAACTTCCCCCTGTTCCTGACCACAAGTTGTGGATCTCCTAGAGGCGTATTCCCTCTCTCCCATGTAATCTCAAATGGGGTATTAAAGACATTTTGAGGTCTTTAAAGCTTTTCTCTCCCAAATGTTATGCTATTCCGTTACATTCGGGTATGACATGCCCTACTGTCCCAATTTCCTAATGGTTTCCCATCCCTCATATCACTGTCTTATATGGGGAAGAGCCCCGTAAACTGATTTCTTCTTTATATGAACTTCTTACCCCAGAGGCATCTGATCTGGCCTACTCTCTCAAATCTCGATGGGTAACAGATATTGGAGCTATTGATGATGAGGAGTGGGAGGAAGTTCTAGACAACTGTAAAAAGGCCTCAGCTAAGTTGCCTGACCGCCTAACCCAACTTTACAGGGCGTATCTGACTACAACTTGCCTTGCACAGTTTAGAGCTGACAGGGATTCCTATTGTCCTAAATGCCATGTATCCCTGGGCATGTTTCCCCATTTAATCTGGCAATGTCCGCGGATAAATGGATTTTGGACCCAGGTAGTCCAATTTTTACATGACCTTAAGTGTTCTCCTGTACATTTTGATCCAATGCCATGTTTGTTGGGAATAATTTCCAATTCAGATGCTAACAGGCATTTGACTGCTTTTTTTACATGAAACATTGCTTAGTGCCAGGAAATTGGTAGCCTGCCATTGGATGCAGGCGCTCCCTGCAACTTTGGAGGAGTGGGTGGTGGATATTAATAACACTCTACCTTTGAAGAAATTGATATATGTTAATAGAGGCTGTCCCAACAAATATTATAAAATAAGGGACCGTTGGTTGTTATCTGCAGATACCTGCACTTAGATGGGATTGTTGTGACCTCCTGTGTATATATATATTGCACAGTTCGGGTTTTTTTTTTCTATTTGTTTCTTTGTCTAGATATATGCGATTCCCACTTTGTATACTTTTTTTTGCGTTAGTTTTGCTCTTTCCATGTTGGGATGTGATGACTAGCTGTCCTGTCGCTGCAGTAAACTGATATATACTCCTGTACAGGTCTTTACCTCCATATCATGATTTGTGTCTTATTTATACTGTCATCATGTTGATTTTCTTTGGTTTTGTTTAAGGGTTTATTACCATTTCTGTATAATCTTTATACAACATAATTATTTGTACTGTTAAATTCTGTTTTATTTTTATTCAGTAAAAAGATTTTGCTTTTAAAAAAAAAAAAAAAAAAAAAGCAAATGTTTAATACCAGGTGCATACCTCACAAAGTATTCTACAAGTTGGCTACTTCCAAACTTTATATACCAGATATCTATATGTAGCTGTAAAAATAAAGCTGGGGCTGGGGTGTGTTTCTGCTTCATACAGTTGACATGGTGTGATGTTGGTGGCCGGTGGTTGTAACACTACACTAGTGGCTGGTTAGTATCTGCTCTGTGGTGATACACTCCTTGGCCATGCAGCAAACACCCTAGCTGACATATGCAGTTTCTCTGATCTCCCGAGCTTGTAGTTTGAATACAGAATGGAAATATCCATTTTTACTTACTGAGACGTGTCTTCCATGTTTCCAGAAGGGAACTAAATCAAAAGATTGGCACGTAGTTTGCAAGATAATGTTGAGTTCTCTCACTAGACTGATGTAAGAGTTTGTAAAAACCTGTGAATCAAATGCTGTATCTCACACTAAATGTTGTATTTTAATTTTTTTTTAGATGCACCATTTACTCAAAATACAGGATATGGCCCTCTAACTGGCGGTGCAAACTGGGAGCGTGGAGCCAATCTGAAAGATTATTATTCCAGGAGAGATGAGCAGGAAGCTAAAGCAGTATGTTGTGCAGAAAGCATCTTTTAGCTTGAACACTTAGATGATATAAGGTTAACATACCTGCTTGCCCATACATTCAGTATACATACTTGCATACAGTATATTGGGGACACATTTTTTACATCATGTAAATTAAACAGGTTGGTAACTTGGGCATACTTAACTGAACACATTCTAAAAAACAAAATACATGAGCAGAGGTTATTCTTGTCACGTAAAGACGTCTGGTGGTAAATGCAGTTCTTGGATTTTCCACCCCAGTATTTTGAGTTTTTTTTTCTTTTTCTTTACGGACCATCAGAATTGCCTTTTGGACAGCAAGGTATTTGAGTGCCTAACTCAATTGCCAACACTTAATTTCCATCTGATGCCTTTTGGATTGCTTTAACAAGCAAGTTCTAATCTATTCCTTGACTTCTTGTATTATCGACTTTGTAGAACTGAAGTCTTCTGAGGCTTCTGGTGCATAGGGCTTATGGGGTGTTGCAATCTTGGTTAGAAGATGTACATATGTGGGTTGGGCCTTCATACCGATGACAAACAGAATTGGTTGCATGTGAGATATAGACAATAAACCTACTGGTTCAAATAATAGCTGATGGGTTAATTTAAAGCTGGATGAAGTTGGCGGGCATGTTTTTTTTAGCTTGGCTCCAAACTACAGTCCTTATTTTTGTGCAATCTTGTGTAATGGTTTTTATTGTCTCCCATTATGTTTAGACTCTGGAATCTGAAGAAGTGGACTTGAATGCTGGTCTGCATGGCAACTGGACCCTCGAGAATGCTAAAGCACGTCTCAATCAGTTCTTTCAGAAAGAAAAGACACAAGCAGACTACAAGTACTCGCAAGTGGGGCCTGACCACAACAGGTTTGGTGTTTAACTTCCCACCATGTTTCAGTTGATAGTAAATGTAATGAAGAAACTGTTCTAACCATTCCAGACCTAAGACCCTTAATACAGCTGCCTTTAATTAATCAAACATTTCCCTCCCCTCCTTTCCAGGATTCAGCCTATCTGGTGAAATATATACTGTCTCCTTTCCAGTGTTCACTGCTATGCAGCCCTACACAGTATTACACAACCTTTGCAAAGAATGTGTCCTCTTCTACTGGGTCCTCTTCTAAAGTGTGCATGTACGTAGTGGCCGATTTTCATATCGGTGAGCTGTTTTCTGCTGAAAGGCTGTAGGCCCAACATAAGTATCACACACCCATAGGTATAAATAAGGCAGCAGTATGCATGTGCAGTAAAAGGACCCATCAGGGAAATTTTCTTTGCAAAGGCTGTGCAGGGCTTCTCATTGAAGATTGGTGGAATGGGGAGAAAGACAAGTAATTTATTTGGGCTATTGGTAAATGGTTAAAGCACAACTGCTCTAAAGGTGCCTTTGAGGTAACCAATAAAGATAGAACAATTTACTGGGCCACTATTGTCAGTGTATGCAAGCCAGCCAGTGTTAACAGTCGGTTAAATGCAGCAGGCTTTTGCTGGTAGGTGTCAATGTTTGGAATAGTAAGGGACCCACAATGTTTAAAAAAAAAAAAAAAATTTGTGAGCTGCTATACCAAATATAAATAAAATGTAATATGCTATCTGAATATTATCGGATCGCTTACACCCTACACATACCCATACAAATGTGTCAATATATTTTAAATACCTATGTGGTGCCGCGCTCCACTATGTGCAAAACAAATAAGGCAATTAAATTGAAATAATCTTCCAACAAATATTCAAGTGTGCACACAATGTTCGTGGTTATCTATAGCCAATGTAATGTAAAGATGGGGTGCTCCTCAATTCACCTCTTGTGATATACTTAAACCAACATTTGTGTATCCCCACCCATTTTGCTCTCACCTGGTGTATATGACCAAACCCTTAAGTGAGGTCATATAAAGCATGTGTCCTTTTATTTTGGACTATGATGAGATTACTATCCAATGGGTCTGGGTCTCTTTCACTGCTCTAGTTGTCCTCCTCCATCAGATGCCTAAATAGATAATCAAAACATAGTGCTTTATCCTTATAAACCATTTATTTAAAATGTGCTATATTCCACTCACATGTATAACATTAGTTTGCTCTTTGTACAGGAAACCACTTATCCAGATTGCCGTTAGCGGTCCTGGCATGCACAGCCAGCTGATTCCCCTTGATGAAGCTACGTGACCCTATGGCGCAACGCGCAGTAGAGGGGCGTTGACTTCACGACGCTTGGTAAGCAGTGGAGAGAGGTATCAGCTGGCTGTGCATGCCAGGGCCACTAGTGACAACCTGGGTAAGTTGTTTCTTGTACAAAGCGCATACTAATGTTATACATGTGAGTGGAATATAGTACATTTTAACATTAGTATGCACTTATAAAATAGATTTACCAAAACCATATAATGTGAGGTCAAGCCTAACCACTTTCAATTTGTATGCAATCAGGCAGGCCCTTTCACTACATAGTTGAAGGTATAACTAAAGGAAATTGAACAAAAAAATGTATGGTGAATGGCCAGCCTTACTGTTTCCTCAAATGTTTACATTCAAGGAATGCTTCTGGTGATAACTGTCAGTTATTAGTGTGCCCATGTTAGCTCTGAACCGAACTGTCAGGTCATCAAATGACTGCTGTTGTTTCATAGATCACATGTACAACACTATGCAAGCTGCAAGTCAATCCCCGAGGCCAAGATAGCAGCTTTGTTCGTTGTAAAGGATAAGAGGATTTAGTTACCCTTTAAACATAGTGGGTTTTTTTTTTTTTTTAAATAGCAAAAAGTTAATGTTTTCTATCAGATTATTTTAGGAATTTCCTAGCCAGATATCCTCACAGGGCTTGTGTGTTTCTCAGCCTGCCGGTGTAATGGAGAGTATTACAGGGAGTATTTTACTTACTCCTAGTAAAACTCGTACAACACAGTTTTGTGTGCAGAGATCTTGAGAATGAATTTTGGGTTTAATTTTCAAGACTTGATGTGTTCCTATGAAACCAAACCTGTTTAAAATGGCAACACAATCATTTAAGGAATCACAGGAATAATCAATGTTTCTTATAACATTCATGTGCAAATTTATGCTGAAAAGCATATACAGAATGTTTTTGCATTGCTGAAAAGAAATAAGGGTGACATCCGGAATCTGCTTTTTTTTTTTTCTTCAAACATGGGCTGACACTTAGGCTGGACTAAGTAAATCCCATGTGAAATGAATTATCGATTGCTGATTCCTGGTGTCACTCTCTTTAGGTGAACAAAAGGTCGGCTGAGAAACACACAGGCACCGCAGACTGCTAGGGAGAGATTTGCAGGTTAGTGCCACCTCGGCTTGGGTAATGTGCTTGTGTTGTGGAAAAGCAATTGTCACTAACATGGGGTGTGTGAGTGGTATAAAGGATCTTAACATGTGATTGCTAAATGCATTTCTTTGTATATTCTAATAATGTAGGGTAAGTGATGGCTTTCTTTTTAAAAAGGATTCGGTCAAATTACTTTGCTTTTTTTTTTTTTTTTTCACTTCATCCTGTGATTTCTTTGAAATGTAAATGTATTTTACAGTGGATAAAACTTTCAAATTAATATGGCAGCATGCACTTGTTCTCTGTGTTTTGCTTAAGTTGTCTTCCAAAAACTGGCATTTGGGTGTGGTGGTGGGGGTTGTTTTTGTTTTTTTTCTTGCCCTTGGTGACTAGACTTTTAACTCGCCTACTGAATATTAGAGACTCTGTTGCCTGACCAGTAATTTGAAAAAAATGTTTTGCATAAGATTATATGTACATTTAGCTTATTAAAAGGCATGTCATATAGTACACGCTCTTCTAAATAAACAATATGCAACAAAATTATGCGCAATTAAAATGCTCGATGCAGAATAAATATTCATAAATCCATAATCTGTGTTCTAGGTCAAAGTGCTTGGTGCCAGATAAACATCTGTACAGGAAAATGGCAACCACGGAAATAGTGCTTTTCCTGTCTTTCCAAAAGAGAGCACACTGCACTAATCAGAAATATGACTTCTTCTCTCAAGATGGTTTTACTCGCTTGTGGTATCTCAAATAGATGTTAGATTCCTGATTATACGATAACCCATACATGCGGACAATTAGATCTCATCTAGGCCTGACCCCCTGATGACATCAGAGGTTGATGACAAAATGCGTTGGATGGACCTTCCTTGACACATCATTTCCGGTTGGTGGAGTGCAAACCGGTGCTTTCAGTTTCCATTTCTAAGATACTTCATGCTTAATCTACATTAATGAAAGTGTGATTTTAAGGTTTTTTTTTTTGTTTTTGTTTTTTTTTTATAAACTGGATAATACAACACTGAGAGGTCCATATATCTTTTTTTTTCCCTTTGTGGGGGAGATCCACACAATCTCCTAAAGGCACAGGAGCATCACCAATATAGGATGAGATCTAATTGTCATCAGATGATCAGGAATCCAAAATCTACTTGAGATACCACATGCAAGTGTAACCTTTGTGAAAAAGAGGTCATGTATTTCTGTTGAGTGTAGTGTGCTTTCTTTTGGGAAGAGAGGAAGAGCAGAATTTTCCTGGGAGTCCTTTTCCTGCAGAGTTCTTGAGAATTTATTTGGCACTGTTCACTTTGAATACAGATTATGGACTTTTTTTTTTTTTTTGGAGCATTAGCAATTGTTCTACATTGAGCGTTTTTAATTCATTGCACACAATTGTGTTGTGCTTTTTATTTTTTTTATTTTTTTTTTTTTGTTTTGCATTGTGCACTATTTAATTAATTGCACATTATTTTGTTGCATATTTATTTAGAAGAGCGCTGTCTATACGACATGCCTTTTATTGCTAGGTTGAGAGCTTGGAGGCGTGCTGCTCTTTGATGGTTGTGGATTAGATATTTGTATACACCTTTTAATAATTGTTTAGAATGTGGTCTATTATACATTTATATACTTTTAGCTTAGTGCATGCATTTTATTCACCTTTAAAATCCTCCCTTGTGTAGACCTAAAAGCCCTGAGACTGCTGCTGGGTGCTGCCATCTTGGGTGTGAAGTCAGGAGCCCCAGCAGACTCAGCTGTCACACAAGTGACTCTGGATTACTATTCCACTTCACTCCTCCCTCGCCTGCTACATAAGTTTGGGTTAGGTGGGCTAGGGCAGCACAGACAATAATTAAAATCTTCCAGAAGAGAGAGTGACTTGAGGTTCAAGGAGAGGGAGGCTGTGCTAGGGAATAGTCTGTCCTGGAGTAGTCAAATTTTCTAGAAAGTTCAAAGGCGGGTTTCAAGCGATTAAAATAACTATGTAAAGGGGAAATGCTGTAAATTTTAAAATACTTGATTTTTCTATGCTTTTACCTGTGTTTTTAAGTTGGTAACAGACTCTTTAAGTCTCAGGAACATTGCTAATGATTCCTTAGAGGTTATAGTTTTGCTTCCCCCCTCTGCTCTCCATAATGTTAAGGCAGAGTTCCAGTCTCTTGGAGCTTTTCTACAAAAAGCACCTGTGTGATTCTCTTCAGTTGCAGTATATCATTAGGACCGTGTTACAAGTATATGCTTGCTTGTAAATGTGACATTCCTCAGCAGGATCTCGGCAGACAGGCAGAGGCCATTACTAGTGTGGGCATCTGAAGCCAGCTCCTACTTTCTTCTGGGATTTGGTGCAGCTGGCTACCCAGCATGCACCTTCCGATCTTGTGCTGTAAAGACGAGGCGCACTGTGTTTATAGGTTGCCATAACAATGGCGGTGGTGGAAGAATCATTCCTCCCGATAACGTCACTTCCAGTCAAGGAAACGCTGCAAGACTTCACCTTGAGGCTTCCCAAAGACACCTGGGAAAACCAATGCCGATATCCCAAGAGTCCTAGGGAATCGCCTAATGACGAAATTGCCTAGGCGGCTTGACCAGAAGTGCAGGATACTGATAGCAAAAAAAGGTATTTAGAAAAGAAAAAATAAATAAAAATATCCCTTAACAGACTGCTGTGCGGGTGGGCCTTGTGTGGCAAGAATCATGGGGGAATAAAAGGGTGGAACTCCACTTTAAGTAAAGGAAAAATCTAATTGCAGGAGAGTTCCCTTACAGTAGGTGTGTGCAGACCACTAACTGATCTCTGCCAGAGACATAGGAAGTTGGTGGGTAGTTTGTGCCATCTGCATTAACCCAAAATGTCAGCCTTTGGTAGACTGTCTCTTTTTAAAGTGGTTCTCTATAATTGACTATTTAGTTGCATACTCCCTTTCCCACCACCATGTTCTGAAAGTTAATAAGCTGAAATGCCTCTCTTACCTGAATATCTGGTTGCATTAAAATATCCCATAGTCACTATACTCTCAAATTTATAAGGTGTCAAAATACCCCCAAACATTTAATGTCTGTGATTTTGGTGGACATTTCTTGGAGATGTGTGCAAGTCACCCTGCCCCAACCCCTCCATAGTCAAACCTACCATCACTCTGGAACAGTACACTGACAATGATATTGCACTGCTATTATATATTGGTCTTTCATAGAGAACCTCTTTAAGGGAATGGCCACAATGTCTGTTGTATGCAAAATTGTGAAACTTGTCTGTCTTCACAGGAGCTTTATAGCAGAAATGACCCTGTTTGTTAAACAGCTTGGACGGAGTAAGTTTTTATTTTTTTCTCTTTAATAGTGTTTTTCTGCTGGACTTAAAAAAAAAAAAAAAAAAAAAAAAAACTTTTGCTTTTGGCACCATTACAGTTTCATTATCTTTTTATTACCGAACAGAAATGCATCACAGTATTGTGAAAACATTGGTCATACAGTGTCCTAAAAGTAGGGATTGTTTAGAGCAGCCTTCCTCAACCTTTAAAATAGTTTTCAGGTTTCGGGGAACCCTGCTAAAAATTTGTCTACAGCTCAGTGTATGATGTATGATCAGTACATTGCCAGCAGTAAGTGGGATAAGGAACTCCTTACCCAGGAAGTCAGTTAAATAAATACGTCCCTTACCAATGACTCAAAAGATAATTGCTATCAGTGCTTACTTACCTGCAAGATGAGGTGAGAGGCTGCACTACAAAGTTCTGGCTCTGTCAAATGACAGCTTTTCTCCTCAATTCAGGAAATGCGTTCCTCTGCGTTTTTGATGCGTTTTAACACATTCATACAGAAAAATACAGCATAGATACTTTTGTTGACTGCATTGGAACGCACTGCACTGGTGTGAACTAGGGCCATTGGAATACGTGGAAAACACTGTCCATGCATTTTTTATGCAGATTAAAAAACACCCTGGACTACATATGGCGTGAACCAGGGGTTCCTAGAGCAGTGCCAGATTGAAGGAGCACTAGACTCCCAGTGATCCCTGGTTAAGGGGCTAGTTTAGCGGATGTCTGCCTGGTGTGTTTCTTTTTTTGTGACTTTTACAGTGGAAGTAAACTCCTTTTTTTGCATATTTTACCTACAGGTGAGCCTTTAATAAGGTTTACCTCTAGGTACTGTAAATATCTCCTAAACTTGCACTGTTTAGGAGATATTTACTCTAGAGATGCCGGTGATTTCACTGGTGCACGCGCACTGTGCTCTCAATGGATGGCTTGCATCCATTGAGAGAGCCATGCCATGGCTGAAACTCCATTCGTGCATGCGCAGGAGTAATGAAATCGCAGCCCAGCCAGTCAGGTGGCCGCGGCTCGCGAACCCGGAAGGAAGACCGGGTGCAGATGGAAGCCTCGGGGAGCCGTGACAGTGCTCTGCTGGAGGGCTTTGTTTTCAGGTAATGTGCTAGTATGCAATGCATGCTATCATGTTATGCTCTTAGCTTGCAGGGAGAACATTTTTTAGAATTTTTTTTTTTTTTTTTTTTTTTTTTTTTTGCGGTTTACTACCGCTTTAATGGTATTTTCAGATACAACAGAGAGAGGCACCAACAGGTTACCACAATGTACAGTACAATAAAAATCTCAAGAAAACAAAAGTGCGTATTCTGTATACGTTACAATAAGATGCTGAACACTACCTGTAAACAGCAATGATAACAATTAAAGAACCAAAGCTGGTGACATTCGTACATGAAGGATATTTTCCATACAGAAGAACATTCAATAAGAGGACAGAGCATAGACACCTCACAAAGTGCAATGGGTCCAAAGACAAAGTTGTTTCATACAATTCCTCCAGATAAAAAAAAAAAAAAAAAAGCAAAAAGGGTAGTTTATATTTATTCCTCTATACTGCTAGAAACTGGACATCCATCCTGACCCAAATTTTTTCACATTTCTTTGGAAAGCCCCTAGAGTAGTACGGTCTTTGTATTTAGTGTAATATTTTTTTATTTATACATATGAATGGCCACAATTTTGCCATTTTGTTCCAGTTTTATTGTTGTTGTCTTGTTGCCTTACAGGAATTACTGCCCGTGAACATGGTTCTAACAAGAAACTGGCTGCACAATCCTGTGCTCTCTCCATTGTCCGCCAGCTGTATCATTTAAATGTCATTGAACCTTATTCCGGACAAACTAAGAAGAAAGAGGGAGAGTCTGTAAGTTCCCATAATTAATGCTTTGTTGTATTATGGGAGGGAGCAGAACTGTGTACATGCAGGAGAGGCAACCCTTGGAATTCATAAATTGTTTTAGACAAGTTAGAATTGTCATGGCCACCTCACAACAAATGTCAGTGCCTGCAACAAATTTGTGTCACTGTCAGCAATTGGTATGTGAAGTAGCATGGTATTATGGTGGGGGAATGGGGGAGAATGGCAGACAGGGTCATAACCAGTGACTCATCCCTGGCCCCATTTCAACTCCAGGCCAGGAGATTCCTGCCCTTGTCCTTGTAATTACCTATTTGGTAATGACATCACCAGCATCCCTGCTCCTTTTTTTTTTTTTTTTTTTTTTTTTTCCCCTTCTACATTCAGCTTTTGGCTGGGGAGTTTCAAGGCTGGGAATGGGTCCCTGGTCTCTAGCACACAGGCAGCTGCCAGCTTTATAGTAACCAAAGAGCTTCCCAGCACACACTTTCCCCACTCTGAACACTGGCTCCTTAGTATGCCAGCTCAGAGTTGGTCCTATATACCATCAGTTTGCTTATCTACAATTCTTTTTTTGAATCTTTCACAGCAGAGGTGGAAATAACTTCCTGGACCTGTTAATGAAACTGTTGTAAGGCTTACTGAATCAGGTGCAGGCCATTTTAAAGGGGTCATGCCAACTGAAAAGTGTTGTAGTACAACTTTATTGCATTTCCCAATTATTTTTAAACTAAGGCCCAAGGGGACATTTTGTAGTGAATAAAAGCAATTGAAACAAGCTGCTTTTCATATATCTTTGTCTGCCTAATTAAAATATGTATGTTGTAATTGCTCTAGTTTTTAAATTGGTAAGAAATGTGCTTGCATTTGTGTAATTCTTTTTGTGCAACTCTTCTGACATCTGTTCACTTTTTCTCCTGTGCAGATTGAGCCATATCAAGTGAACCTGTCTCCTGATGTTCAAAAACAACTCCAATCCGTTATTCAAGAACTGAACATTGAATTGCCATACCCAGTGAGTAAATACAGTAGACATCCTCAAAAAATAACCAAACTTGGGCTACCAACCTCTTGATGTAAATAGTCCAATAGAACCACATAACATATTTGGATAGAAACTAAAGTACATCTATATTCATTAAAAACATGAGCAAACAAATCTTGGCCAAGAGTACAAGAACATAGTAACTACCTCCAAATGCAAATAACCAACATATACTTAAAAACTGCACTCCAATAGGCTGCAGAACATCTACTAGTAATTAGTCAATACGACTATGGGCTGAACAAAAAACAAACAAACTTGGTGTACCCCGCTTAAGAAATAGCACTTTAGAGTAATCCTGTAAGTATAGAATTAGGGTAGTGGCTATTGTGGCTTTCTTACATACACTATATTGCCAAAAGTATTGAGACGTGTGCCTTTACATGTGATTGAACCTTTAATGGCACCCCAGGTTTAGTCCGTAGGGTTCAATTTTGAGTTGGCCCACCACCCTTTGCAGCTATAAAAGCTTCAACTTTTCTTTGAAGGTCGTCCACAAGGTTTAGGAGTGTGTATATGGCAATGTTTTGACCATTTTTCCAGAAGCGCATTTCTGAAGTCAGGCACTGATGTCGGACAAGAAGGCCTGGCTCGCAGTCTTCGCTCTAATTCATCCTAAAGGTGTTCTGTCAGGTTGAGGTCAACACTCTGTACAGGCCAATCAAATTCCTCCAACCCAAACTAGCTCATCCATGTCTATATGGACCTTGCTTTGTGCACTGGTGTGCAGTCATGTTGGAACAGGAAGGGGCCATCCCCAAACTGTTCCCACAAAGTTGGGAGCATGAAATTGTCCAAAATGTCTTGGTATGCTGACGCCTTAAGAGTTCCGTTTCCTGAAACAGAGGGGCCAAGCCCAGCCCCTGAGAAACAACCCCACACCATAATCCCCCCTCCACCAAACTTTACACATGGCAAAGTACCTTTGTGGCAAACGGTAAAACCCGGACACGTCCATTGGACTGCCAGACCGAGAAGCCTGTTTTGTCACTACAGAGAATATGTCTCCACTGTTCTAGAGTCCAGTGGTGGCGTGCTTTACACCACTGCATCCGACGCTCTGCATTGCACTTGATGTAAGGCTTGGATGCAGCTGCTCGGCTGTGGAAGCCCATTCCATGAAGCTCTCTATGCACTGTTGTGCTTATCTGAAGGCTACGTGAAGTTTGGAGGTCATTAGCTATTGACTCCTCATACAGTTGCTGACTTCTGCGCGCTGTGTGTGATCCCACTCTGTCATTTTACGTGGCTGAGTTTCTGCTGCTCCCAGTTGCTTCCACTTTGTTATAATCCCACTAACAGTTGACCGTGGAATATTTAGTATCGAGGAAATTTCCCGGATGGACTTATTGCACAGGTGACAACCTAGCACAGTACCATGCTTGAATTCACTGAGCTCCTGAGAGCGACCCGTTCTTTCACAAATGTTTGTAGAAGCAATCTGCATGCCTAGGTGCTTGATTTTTTATACACCTGTGGCCATGGAGGTGATTGGAACAACTGAATCCAATGATTTGGAGGGAGGTCCCAATACTTTTGGCAATATAGTGTATGTTTGTAACTTAATGCCTGCCATTAGCCTCCCACACCATTCTTCTAAATTCCTCTAGGTACCTGTCTTAATGTTAGCAAGGCATTGTCTACAAAGCCCCAGAGCTGCTAGTCATAATCACTTCAACCATGCATGCTTATGCTGTTGTGCATTGTGTTGACCCGGCTAAGAAGTTTGACCAGCAACTCTTTTTGGTTTTGTATCTCTTTGGTTGAGATGGTGAGCATAACACTGAGCGGTGGTGCTGTTGGCATGGTAAGCTACAAGAGAAGTGTGTAATTGCTACAGTTTTGTGCCACTAAGCAGTGAAACCAGGTTTAGGATAATGCATCCCCCCCCCCCCCACCCACCCCCATCCTCTACTGCCACATATGGCACTTTTTGGGCGGGAGGGGGGGGGGAGCGGGTACCTGGTTTTTGACAGGTACCCGTTTAAGGGTAAGATTGCTTCCTCCTACCCCCCTCTCCCCGAAGCCTTCTGGGACACACACACAGGTCCCAGAAGACTGCAGGACCAGTGACGCAACGCGGCAGGAAACCAGCTGTGTCAGTTTCCCTTACCCAAGATGCTGGCTCATGAAGAATCGGCTCGGGTGAGGTAATCATTGGATCCCTGGATAGGAAAGTGTCCTTATATTAAAAGTCAGCAGCTACAGAATTTGTAGTTGCTGACAATTCTTTTAGGGACAGATTGGAGCTCCACTTTAATGATTCTGGTTGGGAATCTCTGGGGCTGAATACTTTTACTTTGTGTGGAGGTCGCATAGGTATGAATCGGCTGTCAAACTAATTGCATCCAACCATTATTGCCTGGTTGGCTTTGGGATTTGGTTGCGTAGTCATTTTACTTATTGTGGTCTATTTGTTTTCACTTATTGAAGTAATTGATGCTATTTTAGTGCATGCAGTTTTGAATATCTGTTCCATATCTAGTATTTACCGATTTAATGCAGTATTTTGGTTCTAAAACTGTTTTATGATGTGCATGTTTTTCTAAGCTGTCTTCTAAAACAGTATTTTCATTCATAGCCTGAAGATCCTAGCCAGCCCGTATCACTTAATCTGGGAAAATTGGTGCATTTTGAGCCTTCTCAACGGAGTCACGGTGGAGTGGTACCCTGGTCTCCTCCACAAGAGAACTGGAACCCCTGGACCAGCAGTAACATTGATGAGGGTCCTCTGGCTTATGTGAGTATTGCTAGTCTGTTGGCTTTAATATTTAAGTTAATTGTATGGGTTATTGTTGCTTGTTTTTTTTTGTTTTGTTTTTTTTACAAATATTTGACTTAGCATTCACAAGATTTAAACACAAAGGATATGTAGCATCCTTGTGCATTGATAGTTGAATAACCACTTTATAAATGTCTACATAGGCAACACAGGAGCAGATCAGCACAGATTTGAAGAACGAGCTTATGTACCAGCTTGAACACGATAAAGACTTGCAACAGGTGAGTCCTCAGACTGCCTTGAGAATCCTGCACCATGTTCAGTCTGATTCTGTAACGAGCCCTGTGGCTAAGGGGCTAGCTTTTGTAGAGTAATCAACTGAGTGGGTTATGTATGAGTGGTCATTTTATAGTTTTGTATTTGTGTCGTAAATGTTGGGTAAATTTCATTCCTATTTACCACATGGAAACAGCTAGTGCTGAACAAGCAGGTGTAGCAGCCTGCGTTGGCTTCTATTGCAGCACTCTAAACTGAAATAGATAGCATTGTAATCTTGTTTATCCTGCTTTTCAACCATGAGGATTGTTGGATGTGTTGTCGCAGTTGCAAGCGAAAGTTTAGTTGAATACATCACGCTTCTTCCTGATTTTTACTAAACAACAGAACATAATATCTTCAAGAAAGATGCATCCTGTAGTTTTGAATGGGAAACTTTTAAACCAAGGCGTTATGGTAAAAATTTGTTTGGTTGACGGTGGTAATGGATCTAAAGAAACTTCTTAGGTCTTATGTGAGGCGTAGGTTTAGTAGCGTCAAGCCAGTTGGGCTGGTTCCCTACTAGGGTTTACCCTCTACCCATTGAGAGACACCAGGTGAAAGCATCACCTCATCGTTAGGGGGAGGTAGTTCAGTTAATGGCAGATGTAACTCAAAAACTAATAAAAATAAGGAGAAAATATGCATACTCCAATGTCAAAAAAGTGTATATTATCACAAACATGGTTACTCCTCACCAATATAACAAACCACCCTCCCACCCATTAAAATAAAGCAGCCAGTTGCCTAAAAAACCTCCTGTGAGACTAATCAGTCAGTAATACCATGGGGCATGTATCAATAAGAAAATACATTTATATTTCAAGCCTCCATACCCTGAATTCATGCTAAACTGGACACCTGTCTTGTACAAGACAAATATATGGACTAATCTGCACACCAAGGCAGTTTAGTATTTCCTCACGATGAGGCTTGAAACTAAATACATACGTGTAACATCCCATAGAACATCCCCACCCACTCCAACGGTAATATCCTTGATCTCGTCTTCTCCAACCGCTGCGCTCCCCACAACCTCACTAACACCCCCTTCCCTCTCTCTGACCATAACCTGATTACCTTCTCTATCTCCTCGTCCTCCAATGCCTACCCCTCCAAATGTCACACTACTACCAGCCGTAACCTCCGCAACCTTAACCCTGCCCCCCTCCACTCTGCAGCTGATCAACTCCACGACAGCATCCTCCCCCTGTCTTGCCCCGACTTGGCTATGATTGCCTACAACAACGCGCTGTCAACAGCCCTTGACTCACTAGCCCCTTTAACCACACGCAACATCAGACCCCGACCGCTCCAGCCCTGGCAGACTGATCACACCAAAACCCTCAAACGACACAGTCGTGCCCTGGAGCGACTATGGCGCAAAATCTAATCCCAACAAGCCTTCACCCGCTACAAATCTGCCTTCCACACCTACACCTCCTCCCTCCACGCAGCCCAACAACAACCCTACTTCCTGACCCTCATCAACTCCCTCTCCTCCAATCCTCGCTGACTCTTCTCCATCTTCAACTCTACTCTTGCCACCCCCACCTCCACCCAGCACCTCACTCACTGCCCTTGAGATTGCCAATCACTTCAAAAACAAGATTGACACAATTTGCAAGGACATCGCCGCAACTCACGCCCTCTCAACCCGTCCCCTCTCACACAGCTACCCCCTCATCCCCCCTCCCCCTCGACATAACCCGCAGGGACTTCGTTGCTGCTCAAACTCCCTCCAACCCCGTTCCCCCTCACTCAACTACTCCATCATCACCCCTCTCCCACGACCCCACCACTGCTCTGACCTCCACTTCCACCCCACCCTACATTCCTCATATGAAGCCTCCCCAACACTCCGCACCTTTGACCTTACTACCATCGAGGAAGTCTCCAAGATCCTCTCTGATGCCCGCCTCACCACCTGCCCCCTCGACCCTATCCCCTCACAACTCCTACGACCTCCCTCCCCCTCCATCCTACGCTCCCTCACCCACATCTTTAATCTCTCCCTCTCCTCCGACACTTTCCCCTCCCCTCTGAAACATGCACACATCACCCCCATACTTAAAAAGCCCTCCCTGGACCCCAATGACCCGAACAACCTCAGACCCATCTCCCTGCTCCCATTTACATCTAAACTCCTCGAGCGCCTAGTCTACACCCACCTAAGCTCTCACCTCAACGACAACAACCTCCTCAATCCCCTACAGTCCGGCTTCCGTCCCCTACACTCCACCGAAACTGCCTTACTCAAACTCTCCAACAACCTGCTAACCGCCAAAGCTAATGGCCACTATTCAGTGCTCCTACTCCTTGACCTCTCTGCGGCCTTCGACACAGTTGACCACCCCCTCCTCCTCAAAAAACTACACTCCCTCGGCTTCAGAGATTCTGCTCTCTCCTGGCTTTCTCCTACCTGTCACAACGCTCTTTCAGCGTTACCTATAATGCTACCACCTCCCCCTCTCTGTTGGGGTCCCTCAAGGCTCTGTCCTCGGGCCCCTTCTCTTCTCCATCTACACCTCCTCCCTTGGCCAACTCATACACTCTCACGGCTTCAACTACCACCTCTATGCAGACGACACACAAATCTATCTCTCAACCCCCCCCACCTCACCCCCTCGGTCTCCGCCCGAATCACACACCTACTGAGCGACATATCAGACTGGATGTTGCTCCACTTCCTTAAACTGAACCTCTCCAAAACCGAGTTTCTTGTCTTCCCCCTAGCCCGGACACCACCCCCCATTGACTTCTCCGTCCCATCCAACAACGCCACCATCAACTCCGCCCCATGCTAACCTGCCGACCTCCTCCACTCTTCCTACCACTCCATCCCCCACAGCTATCTCCTCCTGTACCACTATCCCCTCCCTCCTAGATTGTAAGCTCGAAAGAGCAGGGCCCTCGATCCCCTCATGTTTTGCATTGTATTGGTATTGTTCTGTCACATGTTCTGTCCCCCTTTGTAATGTACAGCGCTGAGCGAACCATTGGCGCTTTATAAATACTGTATAATAATAATAGTAGAAAGTCTGGCACACTTTCCCTGTTATCATGGCAAAAAAGATCAGCTAGTTGCATAGTGTATGTTATACTTTAACCCAGGAATAATTGCAATTTTGTATTTGAGTAAAGCATTTCATCCTAATATGCAGTTATGCTTGTACTGCAATCATTCACCAGCAAAATCATTGAGAAACACCAGCACCTGCTCTTACAGGAGGATTCAACAGGTAGCTTCATACCACCCAGAGGATATGCAATCAGAATCTTTCCGCATACATGCACCAACTGGCATTGTACAATCAATCCTTCTCCATCCACTTTCTATAAAATGATCACCAGTTCATATAAATGTAGATGCAGTCTGCAGTACAGCATGGGGTTAATTCCACTACTGGATACATGAAGATCTATAATGTGAAAAAAAAAAACAGTCCTCACTCCACATACATGTTCATACAAGCATCTCTTCTGCTTAAATGAGGATACACCAAATAGTACCATATCTTCCAAGAGATATGCTGTCAGTGCATGTATGTGGAGAGATCCTATCTGGGATTGTACAAGCAATCTTTCTTCATCCGTTTTCTAGTAGATGATCACCGCTTCATATAAAGGTAGGTGCAGCCTGTGGTACAGCATAAGGTTGACTCCACTGCTGTGTACGTGCAGAAATATAGCCAATGTAAAGAAAGTTCTCCCTCCACATACATACATACATACATACATACATACACATATATGAATCTTCGCAATGAAGGTAGACAGTGGAATCTTCATAAAGGTTAACAAGCTGGTCACATAACTACACCCATCCGCATGTCCATGCGGATACCGTCCTGCTCTGGGACAGGAGCACATTGACATGTTTGTTCCAATCGGGAACCTCTGTTGTTGAACTTTGGGATTGTAGAAAATGTACGTGAGCCTGTGATAAGTTTGCTTGATACTTGTAACAAATTAAATGGTCTGTCCTGTTCCTTTTTCTATTTTTCAGATCTTAAGTGATCGGGATTCTTTGCCTGTCAAAAAGTTTCAGAATGAAATCATGAATGCAATTCACCATAGCTCGGTGGTAATCATTCGAGGAGCTACTGGTTGTGGTAAAACCACCCAGGTGCCGCAGTACATTCTAGATGAGTTTATCCATAATGGCCAAGCTGCCCAGTGCAATATTGTGGTGACTCAGGTAAAGATGCCATCTGTTCACTGTGGAAATTGAAAACTATATATAAAGCTTGAAGTTTTTAGGATTGCATAGAACGGAAAAGGGCTTAGGACTTTTTAGGTTTTTGTTGCTCTGTGTCTGCTGGGGAGAGTCAACCTCACTGTTGGTTACAGTTCTCTTGTACCTGGAAGGAAGTGAAGGGAAATCTCCCAGACTGAACACAGCAAAATCAAATAGGACAGGTTTCTTTACAATTGCCTACTCCAAAGCTAAAGAATAAAGGATTTGGTTTTACATACATTTTTAAGCTAATGATGTGATTTTTTTTTTACATCTGTTATGTTTTCAGCCTCGCAGGATCAGTGCAGTATCGGTGGCTGAGCGGGTCGCTTTTGAAAGAGCTGAAGAGATTGGCAAAAGCTGTGGTTACAGTGTTCGGTTTGAATCTGTGCTGCCTCGTCCTCATGCCAGTGTAATGTTCTGCACCGTGGGTGAGAATTTGATGTTTTCTGATCAGGATAATGAAATGTGCCCAATTTTTGATTGTGCTAAATCTTGAGTGGTATTTTTTTTTTCCTGCGTGCATATATAGTTGTGTATATCCTATATATTTTTTGCTTTTTCTTTTGGCAGGTGTACTTCTGAGGAAACTGGAGGCTGGTATTAGAGGGATCAGTCATGTCATTGTGGATGAAATCCACGAGCGGGATATTAATGTGAGTGTGCCAGTCTAAAGTGTTTCATTCCAGCAATCTTTATTAACAATTTCACTTAATTCTTGAAGATTGCTCTTACTCTATTTTTTTTTTTTTTTTAACTTTCCAGACTGACTTTCTGCTTGTGGTACTCCGAGATGTTATTCAAGCTTTCCCTGAAATCCGAGTAATCCTCATGTCTGCAACAATAGACACAACCATGTTTTGTGAATATTTCTTTAACTGTCCTGTAATTGAAGTGTTTGGCAGAACTTTTCCTGTGCAAGGTATGTTTTCCAAAATGTAGACCACATTCTTTTGTCAGGCATGTATGTATCATTAAATGACTCTAAATCAAATGACTATATGGTCTTAATCCCCCTTAATAAAGCTTGACAGTGTCATAATTACACACAAGTTCTTATACTCCAGTCAACATATGGGGACATTCATACTTAATGTAAAGCTTTAAATATACTCTGAAGTTTTTAGGATTGTTGTACATGTGCAATATGTGACCATTATTTTACATGGTAACGTGGCAAAGCCAAAGTGATCTAAGATGTCTTCAGCTCCACTGTCCTTTTTTTCTTAGTTTGCTAGAAGCTGTAAAGTGCATTAGCTATATATGTAGTTGTGCATTTGAAGAGACCCTGTTTCCCAATCAGAAGACATTGCTATTAGACACACCTAGAAGTATTGAGTAGCAGCAGCACCCAAAGCTTTTAAAAAGTCAAGATTAACAGACCTCCCTCAGGAAAGGGGATTACTAAGCTGCTTTTTTCACAGGGTGCTGCAGGTTAATTTTTAAGAATTTTTAACCTGTGGTTATCAAGATTAATTACTCCATGTAGTTTGAAGCTGGTTTGCATTTTGGACAAGATTGAAGCATAGAAGTCTATGCACCATTGCAACACCGTAGCCCCAATAAATCAGTAAAAGTGTGTGTATATAAAGGGTTTCAAGAGTATTCGTTTACTGGTTTCTGTCCTTTAGAACAACAGCATGACAAAATGTCTGGACTTTTACAATGTCTAATTTGATGTCTTGCTGACAGAGTACTACCTGGAAGACTCTATTCAGATGACTCAGTTCATCCCGCCTCCAAGGGAGAAGAAGAAGAAAGACAAAGATGAAGAGGGAGGGGAGGATGAAGAGGTTGGTGATCACACAGTTAATGTACACACCTAAATGGGGTCATGACTTTGCATCATAAAGTGTAGTGTATGCACAACATTTTTGCACAATTTATTTCATTTTGTGTGACCCAATGTTATGTAGACTTTTTAGCTTCAGTAATTCTAAACTTGGGCCAAGAAAAAAGTGGGTGCATGTACAGTATATGGGGTTTTCTGATCTGGCTTGTTCCAGGGGATAACGGTGCAATTCAGAGGGTTAAAAGCCAAGCAAATAGCATCATAAATGGAAGTCCCCATACATCTCTTATGACGAGCTTATTTTACCAGTTTTAGACTTTACTGAACTAAATGATGAGATCAGTGTTCAGGTTTTCAAATCTGCTGAATACTAACGTTACAGTGTCAAAGGTGGCTCATCCACCAGTTGGTATTTTAATTTATGTAATTATGTATTCATTATTACATTATGTAGAATCAAGCAGGAGTGAGAACACCCTAATGTTGACCAAAAGTCTTAAGTGGTTAGAGATGATGGCAGAACAATGGCATCTTCAGAGGCTCCAGGAAGACTACCCTTTGTATTCCACTTACTGAACAAAACCATATATTTTTTATTTTTTTTTCTTGTGGTGCATCTTTGTCAGGATTCTGCCATTATTAACATTGTATGTTTTTGTGCAGACAAATTGTAATCTCGTATGTGGTCCTGATTATGGCCCAGAGACCCAGCGTTCATTGTCACAGCTGAGTGAGAAGGAGACCCCGATTGAACTGATTGAAGCACTCCTGAAGTACATAGAATCTCTAAACGTACCTGGTGCTGTTCTGGTGTTTTTACCTGGCTGGAACCTGATTTACACAATGCAGAAGCATCTTGAGATGAACCCACATTTTGGTAATATTTATATCGCTTGGTTGAATTTTTTTTTTTCCTCTTTCAATGAATATGTTAAAATTTATTTTGTGGAGATCTCTTGCCTACTTCCCTTGTTTACAACTGTAACCTAAGCATTGTTGATATACAGGAACTACCTGAAGTAAACCTAAGTTTCACAAGTTCCCTGATTTCCCCAGGCCAAGCAAATCTGGGAAAGGGGGTGTGATTGGCTGAGGTGGGTTTACCCGGTCAATTGTAATTGTTGCTTGCCAGACAAGGTTGGTACCAGATAGGTATAGGGTATATAAATACATACTAGGCTTAGAATGGGCATGTCTGTTCATGAGATTGTGTGGAAGTTGGAGCTCCTAAAACCAGCCTATGCCACTTGGGATTTAATCTTAATGTCAGTAAAGCGTAAATCTATTTTCAGTAATTTGGCATTACATCTTAACTGTACATGATTGTCGTAATCTATTTTGGTTTTTTTTTGCTTTTTTTTTTTTTGAAGGGGGGGGGGCTGTTGCAATTTCCTGCCTAGAAAATACTGCCTGTAACGGTAGTTCTGGGAAAAAAATACTTAGCCAAGTTGTGTTTAGACACACTATAATATCACATTGGCTGTCATAGGTTATTTGTTCAAAAACGTTTAGCGTAAGTGAAAAGTTGGAAGTATCACTCAATGCAGCTATACTGATTTTGATCAGTTTGGTCATAACCTATTTAAAGCACTGGGCATTGAAGGTGTTTAGGTAGGATAAAAAGGCAGAGGAAGGACCTTACCAGTGTGTTCATGATTTAGTTCATAGAGCAGGCATAAAGAGGGAAAGGGATGTAAAAAGCATGCTCTATATAATGCACTTCTCTATAAATTGTGGTTGGAGTACATGACTGAACATAATATAATACCTTCCAGTGTCTATGCCAAATATCTGTGTTGGGTAGACAGACCTTAGAGTTCAGGTGGTTTTCTAGGATACTGTATTAGGACGCAAGATTTGTTTTTGTTCATCATACGCAAGTTGTCAACAGGAATTTACACATATTGGTGCAAGTCAGTGGAAAGATTATATTATGTATTGGATAACGTGATTTTCTTTCTGACTTTTTTCAGGCAGTCACCATTATCGGATTTTGCCACTGCATTCTCAAATTCCACGAGAAGAGCAGAGGAGGGTGTTTGATCCTGTTCCAGATGGAATAGTCAAGGTAATACATGTCTGTCATTTTGGTGATTTTGTGTTTTAGCCATCCATTATTGTAGCTATGATGTATCCCTTTCTGTTTTCAGGTCATTTTGTCCACAAACATTGCTGAAACCAGTATTACTATTAACGATGTGGTTTACGTCATAGATTCCTGCAAGTAAGTTTTAAACTAATATACTATATACTAGAGATTTTTTTCTGTATATAGAAATAAAAGATCCTTGTGAATGAAATTGGGTTATAAAATATCCATGATTTTTTTTTAGATTTGCACAGTTTGGGTGTTTAGGGGCATACATCATCACCAGAATGCCCCACAGGGTGGGAAGGGGGTGGGGGAGATATGTGCTTGGGTATAACTTTCATTTTTTACAGTTTAAAAAAAAATTATAAAAAAAAAAGTCAAGTGACGATTTTGTTTGGTGATAGGTTCTCTTTAATGAGACATGCAGGGTATAAAAGACTGCATGTCTCCCTTGTGCTCCACTGAATGAAATGCAGTGCAGGGAAACTGTCAACAGGGACCCAGAAGTGACGTCATACATGTCGCTTCTCAGGAACTGGATGAGACAGAGCTCCCTCCCCTCTACCCTTCAGCCCTCTATGCCGGGCGCACAGATGGGCAAGCCAAGCACGGGATACATGGGTGAAGGGGGGCACTTTACCCATGTCTGGAAGCAATCGGAGTGCTTATTGAATGCTTCCACCTGACAAGTGTATCCCTGCAACAGTGAATTGGCTGGCGCAATTTCTAGCCGCCATGGCGACCTTGCAGCTGGGATTTAAGCTCTGCACAGTCTTCCTCCATAGCAAAAAGTAGGATGAGTGGTCACTCCACTCCACTGGTCACAGCCACTTATTGCATACGAAGAGTTGAAAACTACATTGTTACTCACAACTTGTCGTTAGGTTGGTACTCCATGTGGAGAGTTCATTATGGTTCTAATATAGATCTGTCACACTGTCTCGGAGTCCATCCAAGTTTTATTCTGAGTGAAACCCTGACGAAGAGGGAGAGATGTTGCCCTCAAAACACTGGCTGTTTTTTATTTTTTTTGTTTTTTTTTGTTTTTTTTATTTGTCATCCAGTTTTGGTCTAGCAATCCTTTCTTTCTAAGGCTTGAAAACCTGCTTAGTTATCAGGAGCAAAACTCAAATTCTAGAGCATAGACGTCGTTATCCTGCTGTCTGTGGGCAACAAGTGGGTTCTTGGTGTCTTTGACCCTTTTTATATTGCTTTGTCAATTGCAGTGAACCTTAAGTCTAGGTTCACATCTGTGCGGGTGCAGCCGCACCACCCGCACAGAAGAATGCGAACCCGCGGGCGTGTGCCATTAATTCTAATGGCATGCCGTACGCACTGGAAATCGCAACCGTACTGGGAACCGAGGTTTCCGTGTGGGCTGTGGTTTCCAAGGAAGTGCAGGGACTTCTTCCCTGCCTGTCACAGGGTACGGGAGTCTATTCAAATGAATGGGCTTTTGTGCCTGCGCAAAACGCAGCCCGCACCGCCGCATATATGTGAACCAAGGCTTACTCAGAAGTAACCTGAACATTTTACCATTTTCTTCTCTCCACAGACAAAAGGTAAAACTGTTTACATCTCACAACAACATGACAAATTATGCCACAGTCTGGGCCTCAAAGACAAATCTCGAGCAGCGAAAAGGAAGAGCAGGGCGTGTGCGACCTGGATTCTGCTTCCACTTGTGCAGCAGAGCACGCTTTGAACGGTGAGAAAATACCTTTCATATTGTTTCTTTTTCGCCTCATGATAGTGATAGAATGAATTATGTTGTGTTTTATGGGACAACTGCACAAAATTTAACTTTTTTTTTTTTTTTTTTTAAATATCTGTATTTTGCAGCTTGGAAACACACCTTACGCCAGAAATATTCCGTACACCATTGCATGAAATTGCTCTGAGTATTAAGCTTCTTCGTTTGGGTGGCATTGGACAATTCTTGTCAAAGGCCATAGAGCCCCCTCCACTGGATGCTGTGATAGAAGCTGAGCACACGCTTCGAGGCAAGTGATGTTGGATGTCTTAGTTCAGGCCTGTTAGTGTGAACAGCTGAACAATACTTGGGGATCTGCTTCAAATCTGGATTTTTTAAAATCATAGTTTAAATGTTAACATTCATTTGTTTAGAGCTGGACGCGTTGGACACAAATGATGAGCTGACTCCTCTGGGAAGAATTTTAGCTAAACTGCCAATTGAGCCCCGTCTTGGAAAGATGATGATAATGGGCTGTAGCTTCTAGTAAGTGCATATGGTCTTTATATTTTTTCATCATATTTCCATATGTCGTGATGGTCCTGCTTATTACAACTTATAATCTAATGGGCAGCATAGAATGATTCATAAGGTATAAAATAAATTTTGTGGGAGATGTACTAGTCATCTTCTATTTTAACATCTCAGTAGTAATGGATCTGCTGTGCAGCTATGTCTGAGCAGACAGAATGCTTCTCATGTGATGGTTCACAGTGAGATGGGCTGTTAAAAATCCATCCTATTTGTTATGGTATCTTAACAGTACCTCCTATATAGACCTTGTAAATTCTTGCCTCCTCTCTCATATCACAGATCTCTAGCTAGATAGCAGCTGTCAAACTCTTTAAAAAAAAAAAAAAAAAACCTTTACCTTTCGAAGTCTGTCCATGAAGTTTGTACAGATATAGTGACTACATTCCCTCTTTGACTGGAGTTTTTTTTTTTTTTTTGTTTTTTATTGACTGTGTGGTCAGCCGGTCAATAAAAAAAAAAAATCCCAAGCAATCGGGAAATGTCTGGATACTGGTTTAGTAGAGGACTTCTTGGTTCTTTTCTGCCCGACTCACCACAACCTAATTCTACTGTTTGGCTAATTTATTGGAAAACCACATGCCGTTAATGTGCCTCTGTACTGCGTGTTCCTTTTTTTTATATGTTAAAGTTGGTACCTTACTACAGACACACCATAACAATAGTGTGTGTCTTAGTGCTGGGGAGCATCTGTTATTTTGTGGTTATATCTGAGTACAGAGTGCCTAGATCAGTATTAACTTTTTTTTTTTTTTTTTGCAGTGTCGGTGACGCTGTGTGCACTATTGCGGCTGCCACTTGTTTCCCCGAACCGTTCATCAGTGAAGGGAGGAGATTGGGATATGTGCACAGAAACTTTGCTGGCAACAGATTTTCTGATCATGTGGCACTGCTGTCAGTGTTTCAAGCTTGGGATGATGCAAGGTAAAGTTAGTGTGCAGGAGACCAAAGTGAAAGGAAATAATTTTGACTTCCGTGTACTCAGTTTCTTTTTTTTTTTTTTTGTGTGTGTGTAGAATGGGAGGAGAAGATGCTGAAACAAGATTCTGTGAGCATAAACGTCTCAATATGGCCACACTACGCATGACATGGGAGGCCAAGGTACAGCTGAAAGATATCTTGGTCAATGCTGGATTCCCTGAAGGTAAGTGACTTACTGGCATATTCTACTCGCTGTAGTATTCTGTCTGTGTGTTTTGAAATATGTTAATTTTTTCCCCCCCTCAGACTGTTTATTGAATCAAGTCTTCAATAACACTGGCCCTGATAATAACCTAGATGTAGTGATTTCATTGTTGGCTTTTGGGGTTTATCCCAATGTCTGCTACCACAAGGAGAAGCGAAAAATCCTGACCACAGAGGGCCGAAATGCACTTATTCACAAATCTTCGGTCAACTGCCCTTTCAGCAACCAAGACTCAAAGTATCCTTCTCCATTCTTCGTCTTCAGTGAAAAGGTAAGCTGCCTAGCCATTTTGCTGTTATAAACCATCCAGAAAGACTGGTAAGAATGCCAATGCAACCTAAAAAAAAGTTTTACGGCAAATAAAGGGGAATACAGTTAAATTTGTGTGAAAGGTTTTATTTGCTAAAGATATTTGTTCTGCTTGCCTGTTATAATTTACACACCGCTGCCACACTGTTGCCTGGCAAACATCACCTTTTCCATTTTCAGCATCACGACTGGTCTGTCGTCTGACCTTTGTTCACTGTAAGAGCCCTACTGATTCTTTTACCGATTAGCAGACAGGTGACATGGGTAGCAGCAGAGTCAGGTCAGTACAGCTGACTGTGTAATGTTTTTTTAGTTGGGTGTCCTTTTTTAAAGCCCAACTTCAGTCAAGAGGTTTGAATAAGGTGGAAAAGGGGGTATAGCCTCTTTCAGATATTTTATGTTGCCTTGCTCCCCCACTGAGGGGATTTTCCCTCCATGTCTTGTTTTCACACCTGAAAATAGGAAGTGAAGATAAATCTAAAGAGAAACCAGTGGCAAAAAAAATTTGACAGATTTGTAACTCTCCCACACATTATCCAAAACTAAAAACAAAGAATTAGATATATAAATTGGTTACATATTGCCTTTTTTCATTTGTAGCAGGCTAAAGTAAACAAAACAAATATGTTTCTTCCTTGTAATGGCAGTTGAATTTTTTTCTGTATGTTGGTAGATGTACAGAATGAGCCAGAAATGTAATTATTGCTCGTGACTGGCTTGCTATTATTTTAAATGGCATTACATGAGGAAGCAGCAGGCCTAAAGTAATTATTTTGATTTAGATCTGCTTTAAATTTTTATTTGAGAAGTGTAATATTGTCCCTGACTGTACTTCATTTATCAATGTCTTCTATAAGAAGTTTTGCTTCACAGCATGTAGTTACCGCTGATTCATATACAGGGGTTAGACAAAAAAAAATGGAAACGCTACATGATTTGCAGCTGTGAAAGTGATAGGTTTCGTGTTGAAACCGGAAGTGATGTAACATTCTTTTGCTTCCGCTGTGTGATGAGACACCTAGCTAACAAATGGGAAGCCTCACTGGCGTCATTCATTGCGTGGGTTGCTAGTAATAGGGAGTCATGTCAGAGCTTAAGAAGCCTCAGAGGGCAAATTGTTGGTGCCTCTGTGACTGAAGTTGCCAATTTATTTGCTGTATCGCAAGGTAGGGTGTCAAAGGTTATGACTGCATATGCCGTTTTCAGAAAAACGACGTCTGAGTATAAGTGCAGTCGACATGGTCAACTAACTGAAAGAGGCAGAAGGACATTGCACAATATTGTGACCTGGAGTAACTGCTGTAAAAGTGACTGCAGAGCTCCATTTTAGTGCTTTTGTCTTTCGGTCAGTTTTCCAGGTTATGCTTAGCATTTCCCAGAAACTGTACATGCCATCGTAACCTTTGATTACTGTACCTCAGGACATGACAAATTGGCAACTTCAGGTACAGAGGCACCAACTAAAGTGGGCACCAACAATTTTCCCCTTTTTGAAGTTCAGTAAGGTCTGACATGACTCCGTATTACTAGCTGCGCACATAGTGAATGACGCAAGTTAGGCTTCCCACCTGTTGGCTAGGTGTCTCATCACTCAGCAGAAGCAAAATAATGTTACATCACTTCCGCTTTCAAGGCGAAACATGTCAGCACTTTCAAACCTGCAAATCGGGTTTCCATTTTTTTTGCCTAACTCTGTAGTATTCAATTCACCATGCTTGCTCAGTAATCCATGTTCAGCCCAGACTTGCTTTGGGTTAATGGATTTAAAAATTAAGTTGTCTACTGAATAAATTTTTCGTTCCTTTTTTTTTTTTTTTGCATGCTTTTGGCCTACTATAATGTGTCTACTGCGCTACAGTCTGGCTACCTCTTCAGCCCTTCTGGAATCCTTTAGAGGATAGATGATATGTTTTGGTTACTTTTCACTCTGGTGGGATCTCCATAGCAATATATGAACACCATACACGAGGTCTACTACCTGGCCTTAAGAAGCTCAACCTTTCACAGCTATGCTGAACAAATGGAGACATCTTCATCCCAGGGCAGCAGTGAGGGATAGGCTGCATGTCTAGATGCATTCTTAACAGTTAAATCCTAATTTAACATTTGTAAGGGAGGTGTGATGATACACTTCCATAATCTTTGACAATACAAATTGTTTGAATAAACTTGAATGAGTGCTAAATAATTTTTCTTTCTCAGATCCGTACTCGTGCAATCTCTGCAAAGGGTATGACCATGGTGAGCCCGTTACAGCTGTTGCTCTTTGCCTCCAAGAAAGTTATGTCAGATGGAGAGATGATAATCCTCGATGACTGGTATGTGTATTGACATGCACATGGTCAGTGTTTGTAAAGCTTGAAGAGGTGGTTTCAGGGTCTGATTTAAAACAGCTGTGCTTGGCGTCAACAGCAAATTTCCCACAGCAAAGCTGAAATTTTGCAACAACTGATATGTTCCTTATAAGATCCTGAAGTGTTGTCCTCTGTGGAATACTGTAATGTGCTTGTTGTAAAGCTTGTGTATTTTTTGTACACTTCCAAGGAGATCTTTGGCACCTTGTTTTCCCACAGCTTTAGGTTTTTGCTACTTGTAGATATTGATTAATTTTCTTTTTATTTTATTATTTTCTACAGCTAAATATGCCAGCTTTAGTGGCCTAAAGGCATTACTATAACCTTTAAGGCCTTTATGCACCTATTTACGCACTCCTCAGTCTTGAAGCAAAAAAACAAAAGTGACAGTGCAGTGCTAATAACGAACAAGACAAATTCTAATTTCCATTCATAAGTGAACACAAAAAAAAACAAATTAAAGCATAAGTTCACCTTTTGTAACATGTGACACCCATATTCAGGGTGTCACATGTTACAGATGCACCGGCTCGCTGTTACAATCTTAAAATCAAATTTTAAAAACCAGTCATGCGAGGCTCCACTTGCCACATCATTATTTCACAGTGTTCTGTCAATGTGAAAAGCTACAAGTGCTGTCAGCCTTTCTGACTGTCGGCTTATAGTTCTCAATGAACTACCAGAGCGTGGTTGAGCACTCTAGGTAGTTCACTGAGTTTGCCAGAGCGTAACTGCCTGCCTGTATCAGAGGTATGGGCAGACCGCTACACAGAGTTTGCAAGACCATGGGTGATCGTGTGTGCATTGCTTTACAGGCACCTAACAAAAAGGTTAAAGGTGAACTTATCCTTTAAGAAAGTCCAGTGTTCCTACAATTCTTAATTTTTTATTCTGTTTTCATTTAAATTTTGAAAAGAGAATGAGGAGTTAGTGCTGCACTGTCACTTTTTCTTTTGTTTTATCAACATTGGTGTGAAACACTGTTCAGTGCTGGCCAGTTTTACACTATTTAAGGCATTGTGGTTAGGCATAATTGCACATGCAGTTATTGTGTATTTAATGCGTAAAACGTCCAGTGCTTTAATGCGCTCTGGGTGCAGCGTACAGCCGCCAAATACGCTTACCAACATACAGCAGGCTGCTTGTAAACACTGATGGCTTATGCATTGGTGTTTACTCACTCATGCCTAGGTGGCATATTTGCCCTAAGCACCACTTTGTGTTCGGTCAATACGCAGTGCACATATGCACAGGAAAATACCAGTGTAGAAGCCATAAGCATTGCCAGATAGCAGTGTAGTTGTATTGGAGGCTGCACTCCTTGTACCACTTGCTGTACATTTTACGCTTCAAGGCTCAGTGTGCAAACATCCATGTGCATAAGGCCTAAAGCATGGCAAATATGCAAGGTCACACTTTGTGTATTACATTTTAGAATGTCAGAGCCTTGAAAACACTTGAATTCCTTGTGCTTTGTATTAATAACCATAAATTGTGCGTCTGACACATGGGCAAAAAAGATGATGTTGAAGTTTTTTCTTTTCTGGTGCCAGTGTCCCTATCAAGCCCACTCTCTGAAAAGGTAACCATAGCCCTAAAATGCTTACTTTAGCTGCAGGAACTGCTCAGGGATCACAGAATGCAAGATTATGACATCTTGTTTGCTGATCTTCCCCTTCATCAGAGGACATTTAAACATATGTCTAGGCCTTTGGTCTCAAGATCAGCCACTGTTAGAGCACTGGTTTATGCAGCCTGGGTATTTCAGGAATTCTGTTACTTTTCTTAGAAATTGAGATGAGTGGCAGATGGCCATCTTAGCGATAGGTCCACTTTTACCTTTTTCAGTAAGCAAGATTTCTAATACACACTTCTGGTCAGCAGTTGGCTTAGAAGGGCACAAGTCATAGCAACATGGCGGTGTGCTTGCTTTTTGCAACCTCATCATAAAGTACCTGCAAGGCAGTGTGAGACCTGCTCTGGCATTTTGGCACTTGAGGGCCTGGTTTGGGAAATAGCAGAATGGCCAAATTAAAAAATGTGGGAAATGGTAAACTATTGAAAAAATGTGTGTTTAAGAATGTAGATGTAATATTTCAAGTTAATCTTTTCTAGGATTAAACTGTGTATGGTGCATGAGGATGCAGCTTGCATTGCTGCCTTAAGATCTGCAATGGAAGCACTTGTTGTAGAAGTTACTAAAGATCCAGAGATTCTATCCCAGCTGGACCCAACCAATGAGAAGATGCTGAACGTTATTCGTATGATTTCCAAGCCATCTACAGCTGGAATCAATCTCATTATGGGCAATACCAGGTAAGCAGATATTTTTGCAATTCTATATACATCAACAATTTGTAGACATAATATAGAAACAATAAAAACTGATGCTGGTGGTTGGCTTAGTTTGCATTATGCACTATACTTTATAATCTGAAATGGAGGCACGCGCTTTTGTGTAAAGTGGTCAATGTCTGTTTTTCTTTCTTTTGTTTTCACAGCTTTGGCTGCCCTCACCTGAGAATAGACCTTGATAACTGTCAGTCTTTGATTATGCATCACATATGTCACATCAGCTCCGGCCTACACATCAGTGTACCCAAATGCACACATACAACTGTGGTTTTTGTCTCCTTACAGCCTAACTTCAGGGTTTATTGAACTCTAAATAGTTAGTTTGCACCAATACATGGTTTTCACCTATACATGCACCTGCTGGGAGCACTGTATACATTTTTTATATAGCATCAAATACACTGCTTTACAGTGGAATGGAGGCTTCCATCCTGGTCTTGCAATAAAAACGAATCGGGCTGAGCACTGCTTAGCTATTCACAGGATGCCTTTTATATATTAAAATACAAAGCTTCCTGTGAAGGGCGGAGCAGAACTCAGCCCAACCTGATGTTGTTCTGTGTCACTGCCAGTCATGGTACTGTATGTAGCTGATACTACAAACCATTTATACAGCGCTCCCAGCAGACACGCGTTAGTGAAGGAAATATCTTGGTCCAAACTATTTCAAACAAACATGGCATTCAGCTTTAAGGCTTGTGCTGAAATACCTTGCCCTACAGTAATCTAATTTCATCCAGATAAAATAGTGTGCTGACCACAAAGATGGCCAACAGAATCAAATGTTTGGACATGGGAACAATGATTCTTCAAGCCCATGTACAGTGTGCCTGTAGGTATGGGCTTGGGCATGCCTTGAAATAGGTGTAATATAATTTCTGACCACTAGAGGGTGAGCTTCATCAAGTAAGCTTGAACACTTCCATTAAATTTTGTTCTGACAAATGAGATAAAACTACATATCCCAATCACAGTATGGGGGGGGATCATTGGTCATATGCCAATACGTTCAGGTGATTGGACATTGGCAAAGGTTTTGCAGGGAATCGCCCCCCCCCCTTCCCATTGTACCCATATAATGACACCCAACTCCTTAAAGGATAAGTTCACTTTAATGGAAAAACATTTGCACACAAAAGTGCACTTAATATTTGCAGCAGTAGCCTGAAAAGCATTGCAATCAGTTGACCACGGGTGCAATGTGGGCTCCTGCAGACATATCCTCTGGCTTTCAAGCCCATACCTCTGTACAGGCTTTCTGTTTGTAAGCCAGGGGACATGTTCGTGAAATACGACAGCGTCATTTGTACCCTGCAGCCCATTGAAACTACAAGTTGTCTGTTCGTTTAAAGGAAACTGAATGAATGATGCGGCTGTGTAAGAGCCCCGTACAGCCACTCTTTTCAAAAAGTGACAGTGGATGCAGGGAGAGGAATCCCCGCCTGCTGTCCGAGGAAGGGGGATCAGAAGGATAGGTGACAGGAGTTGGAACATGTTGCATGTGTCTCCCTAAATACAAGTAGAACTTGTCCTTTAAGGGTCTAGTTTGTCAGTATTCTTAAATGGCCCCCCTTCTCCTGTTGAATGATCTTCATTCTTTAACTGACACGTTTACATCAAAAACAGGCTGCGAATTATTGTAGGGCTCACTAAAAATTTTCAGATCGGTTACCCTTGAGGTACATCTTGATAGCTGTACCATGATCTGCGTTCGACAATCACCTTAGTACGTGAGTGTAGCAGCCCATAGGTGAGTCAGTTTTCTTTCCTTCCACCATGGTTGGAAGGAAAGATAATTGCTCTATTCCCTATCAGCAGTCGTTAATGGGGGGAATGCCTACCGCTGCGCTATTGTATTCTGCCAGCAAGGGGGGACATGGGGAACACTGAAGGCATAAACACTGATGCCCTCACTTGCCACTACAGTTGACACTGCACCCTTCTTGGGTGCTTCTGATGTTCTACTGTTCAGGATATCTGGGTCTAATCCTGACGATATTACTCATTTCCCTTCAACTCCACATTTTGTCTATTGCCGTCCCTATGTGCAGGAACATAGTGTCATTGGCACCATTCGGTCACATCTCCATGAGATTTTCCCTCACGTTTTGCTGGCAGACCCCTTTGGGACAGCCAGTTCCTAACTTCTCCACTCAAGTTCACTGGAACTCTCCTCAGGTTTTAGGATTAAGAATTACTGGGTTGCCTGGTTACATCTTCTGTTCTTGTAATCTTAAACTGGTTTTGGTCATTGGTCAGCTTCTTTTGCTGGCTTAGTATTGGAGAAGGTCACATTGCCCCTGTTCTCATTACCCCCTTATGCTTTTGTTTTTCCTCCACATTCAGTCTATAGGTGCCTGGCATTTGTCTGCCTCTCTCATGACACCTCTTCAGTTGTGACTGATGTGTAGATTCTTACCCCGAGATCTCCCAGCATCTCTAATTTCCTGATATTCACCAGTTGGGTACATTCCTACCTCTAGTTCAGGTGCTTCTTTTTTGTGGGTACATGTAGCTTGCTTCTCCCTGTAATCTGAGATTTATTGCAAGGTAATACTCAATGTATAGAGATCATCCTGTTCCTCATTCTGCAGCTTGGAATAGCCAAACACCTAGCACTCAGTACTCTGCACGAGCTTTCATATTCCCTGTGCACTCCAATAAAAGCTGCTCCTCTTTGTCACCCTTGTGACTGTGCCCCCCTAGAGCCCTCTTCAGATTATCTTGCCTGTGTAAAGCCCCTCCTTATACCTAAAGCAGTTTACACACTTAAAAAGACCTCTGTAAGAATGGAACATTCTTCATCACTCCTGGCAGCTGTAGTTCTGCATAAATTGTTGTCGTTTCCCCCCCCCCAACCACCTGATCCCTCTTTTCTTTTTTTCTTTTTTTTTCTTTCCTCCCATACGGCTTCTACCCTCAATGAATGAGTCCGATCTTTCCTACCTGAGCCAGTTCTACAAATGATATAGGGGTTCTTGGCCTTTTTATAGAATCCAGCATCTGTCCTCACAAGTCACAGGGCAACCACTTTTTTCTTTTTCTTTTTTTCTCAAGTTTAAAAACCATATTTTAAGTTTTTGAGTTGCTGCTGATCTGTGCTTCAACTACAAGGTGCCTCAGCTGTCTGTTGACTCTGTCGGGGTCCATTAACCCTGTGGGCCTGTTGCTGTGTTTTGTGCGTGGTTTTTGTTTTTCTTGGATATGTCCCTTGGCCCAATATTCAATTTCTACTGTGGCCTGTACTGTAAATTCCATTTCTTGGAGTACAGTATAGGACACATACAGGTCCCTTTCCTCTTTTCTCGGTGATCTCCTTATTGCTTGCTAGAGTCACATGAAGTGGGGGAGGTTATATGAGTAGGCAGTTCTCAGCAAAACTTTTGCCAGTGTCTAGTCACTTTAAATTTTTCATCTCATCTGACTAGAGCACCTTCTTCCACATGTTTGCTGTGTCCCCCAAACTGCAAACAGGACTTCTTATGGCTTTCTTTCAACAATGGCTTTCTTCTTGCCACTCTTCCATAAAGGCCAGATTTGTGGAGTGCACAACTAATAGTTGTCCTGTGGACAGATTCTGCCACCTGAGCTGTGGATCTCTGCAGCTCCTCCAGAGTTACCATGGGCCTCTTGGCTGCTTCTCTGATTAATGCTCTCCTTGCCCGGCCTGTCAGTTTAGGTGGACGGCCATGTCTTGGAAGGTTTTCAGTTGTGCTATACTCTTTCCATTTTCGGATGATGGATTGAACAGTGCTCCATGAGATGTTCAAAGCTTGGGATATTTTTTTTTATAACCTAACCCTGCTTTAAACTTTTCCACAACTTTATCCCTGGTCTGTCTGGTGTGTTCCTTGGCCTTCATGATACTGTTTGTTCACTAATGTTCGCTAACAAACCTCTGAGGGCTTCACAGAACAGCTGTATTTATATTGAGATTAAATTACACACAGGTGGACTCTGAAGGCAATTGGTTCCACTAGATTTTAGTTAAGGGTATCGGAGTAAAGGGGGCAATACAAATGTACACCACACTCTTCAGATGTTTATTTGTAAAAAAAATGTTTAAAACCTTTTATCATTTTCCTTCCACTTCACAATTATGTGTCTGTCAAATAAAATTTACATTTTTGATTGTAACATGACAATGTGCAAAATTTCAAGGCATATGAATACTTTTTTAAGGCACTGCACATGGATTAGTAAATTAAAAAAAAAAATGTGGGCACTGTATGCTTGCAGTTACTTCACTACTTTTATTTGCTTTCTGAAAGCAAACTGAAGAGGTTTTTACAGTATAGAAACAGTTAAACAGTTATGCAGTTTTAAACTTTACAGAGTTCAATATTTAACTACTTAAAAAATTTTTTTCTCTTTCTTAGATATGGAGATGGACCTCGTCCACCAAAAATGGCTCGCTTAGATGGTGGTGGTGGCGGCTACCAAGGATATAGAGGAGGTGGAGGATACAGGGGTGGCAATCAAAGAGGTAGCTATGGAGGTGGATATGGAGGTGGCTACAGGGGTGGAAACAGAGGTGGTGGCTACAGAGGAGGCAACCAGGGTGGCGGCTACAGGGGAGGCAACCAGGGTGGCGGCTACAGGGGAGGCAACCAGGGTGGCGGCTACGGAGGAGGCAACCAGGGTGGCGGCTACGGAGGAGGCAACCAGGGTGGCGGCTACGGAGGAGGCAACCAGGGTGGCGGCTACGGAGGAGGCAACCAGGGTGGAGGAGGATACCAGGGCCGAGGTGGTGGCTTTAGAGGAAGAGGTGGTTTCTGAGTCCAAACAAAAAAAAAAAAAAAATCTAAAGACTGTTGTTCCTTTTTTGCGCTCCTCTCTCTCCTGTGTGTTAGAGTCGGAGCATGGTTCTTCCCTGCAAGGCTGTAAACTTATTTTGTGTATAAAGTGTTGTAACTTTTTTTAACCTGTATTTTTTTTTTTTTTTTTTTTTCCTTTTTAATGCAGCCAATAAAAGTAAAATTCGAGTTTAGCATTGTTTGCTTTCAATTTCTTTAAAGTGGATGGGGATTCAATGCGTTTACTGAGATATGCCTACCTGACTGGAAGGCCCTAGTAATATTGTTGGCCTAACAATTTGTTTATTGCCTAATTGAAGCTTCAGTGTCAGGCCTGTTTTAACACAAATTTTAACCCATGAAAACCCATCTCTTCAGGGAAGCCTACCCCACCCTCACCTAACAGCCGATCTCCTCCACTCCTCCTATCCCTCCATCCCCCACAGCCACTTCCTCCTGTACCACTTACCCCTCCCTCCTAGATTGTAAGCTCGAAAGAGCAGGGCCCTCGAACCCCTTGTGTTTGTTTTGGTACTGTCTCATGTTCTGTCCCCCACTATAATGTACAGCGCTGAGCAAACCTTTTGGCGCTATATAAATACTGTATAATAATAATAATTCTCAGTGATTTTTCATGACACAAACAGCCATCTTCTGTTTATTGGTAACCTTACCATATAAATAATAGGCTGGTAGAATGTAAAAACTGTTTTATGTTTTAGCTTTCACATGTTCAAATGGGATCTTTTATTTTTGTTCGCAGTAGAATAACCTACATTCAGAGTGTGCTTTGTATTTTTTTTTTTTTTTTTTAATAGTTAAGCACCGCACCGCATCTAACTGAAAATAAATAAATGAACACTTACATTTATAGAATTAAAGTGGAAGTAAAGTCAAAACCTAACTAACTGTAAACTACTACTCTCAGCCACATTGTAAGCCTAATCTACCAAACTCTGTAACGCAAAAATCACTATACTTGCCTTGCAGCCACTCCGGACCGGTCCCAGCATCAGCAGCCGACAACCAAAGACCCATAGTAACTCTATGGGTGACGTCATTTCCCAGGCATCTCGCAGCCTTTTTTTTTTTTTTCTTGCACACAGCATCTGCTGCTGGAGACCGGACCACAACAGCTGCAGAAAAGGTATAGCGATTTTTACTTTACAGGGCTTGATAGTTCAGGCTTAGAATGTGGCTCAGATTAGCTTTATAGTTTTTTAGGTTTTGACTTCCACTTTAAACAAAAAATTGAACCCTTACTATTTCTTACCTTTTTAGGCTGCATTTGTACAAAAAACTTGTTTACTTTTTTCTTTTTAACTTTGTAGTGCGTGGTTAATATATTCTGTGCTTGTAGCACATAGTCTGACACTATGGTTCTCCTGCAAAAAGAAGTGACCCAGCTCTCCTGTAGTCCAGTGCACCCCTTCCCCTGAACACTTCTCACATCAACAGTGCTCTTGCTCTGCTGTTTTTAGCAGTATTGAACAACTGGGTATTTTGGACCCTACTTTTGCAAGAGAGCTAAGTTCTGACTTTCTGCTGCAAGCAGAAGGTATTTTAACCCTTGATAGTGGAAGTAAGATCCTCTTTTTAACTTGTACCTACAGCTAAGCCTATAATAAGGCTTACCTGTAGCTATAGGTAATTTCTCCTAAACATGCGGTGTTCACATTTGAAGTAGTCAGTGATGTCGCTTACACACTGTGTTCTGAATTGACAGCACACTGAGTATGCAGTCAATTCAGAGCGCTGTGCCGCGGGAGTGATGTCATTGCTGACCAACAATTCAAATGGCTGGAGCCCGCAAACCCTTCAGTCTGGCATAATGTGCTGGTATGCAGTGCACACTAGCACATTATGGCCTAAACCGTCTGGGGGGTGCATAGATATGTCACTATATTGGCAAAAGTATTGGGACACCCCTCCAAATCATTGGATTCCGGTGTTCCAATCACCTCCATGGCCACAGGTGTATAAAATCAAGGACCTAGGCATGCAGACCGCTTCTACAAACATTTGTGAAAGAATGGGTCGCTCTCAGGAGCTCAGTGAATTCAAGTGTGGTACCATAATAGGTTGCCACCTGTGCAATAAATCCATCCGTGAAATTTCCTTTCTACTAAATATTCCACGGTCAACTGTTAGTGGTATTATAACAAAGTGGAAGCAACCGGGAACAACAGCAACTCAGCCATGAAGTGGTAGGCCATGTAAAATGACAGAGCGGAGTCAGCACATGCTAAAGCACAAAGAAGTCACCAACTTTCTGCGGAGTCAATAGCTAAAGACCTCCAAACTTCGTGTGGTCTTCAGATTAGCACAACGGTGCGTAGAAAGCTTCATGGAATGGGTTTCCATGGCCGAGCAGCTGCATCCAAGCCTTACATCACCAAGTGCAATGCAGAGTGTTGGATGCCGTGGTGTAAAGCACGCCGCCACTGGACTCTAGAGCAGTGAAGACATGTTCTCTGGAGTGATGAATCACGCTTCTCCGGCAAGCTTTGGCAGTTTGCAGAAGAACAGTACTTTCCTGACTACATTGTGCCAAGTGTAAAGTTTGGTGGTGTGGGGTTGTTTTCCAGGGGTTGGGCTTGGCCCCCTAGTTCCAGTGAAGGGAACTCTTAAGGCGTCAGCATACCAAGACATTTTGGACAATTTCATGCTCCCAACTTTGTGGGAACAGTTTGGGGATGGCCCCTTCTGTTCCAACATGACTGCGAACCAGTGCACAAAGCAAGGCCCCTAGAGACATGGATGAGCAAGTTTGAGGTGGAGGAACTTGACTGGCCTGCACAGAGTCCTGACCTCAACCCAATAGAACACCTTTGGGAAGAATTGGAGCAGAGACTGCGAGCCAGGCCTTTTTATCTGACATCAGTGCCTGACCTCACAAATGTGCTTCTGGAAGAATGGTCAAACATTCCCATAGACACACTCCTAAACCTTGTGGACAGCCTTCCCAGAAGAGTTGAAGCTGTTATATCTGCAAAGGGTGGGACAACTACATATTGGGTGCCATTGAAGTTCGTGTGTGTAAAGGCAGGCGGCCCAATACTTTTGGCAATATAGTGTATTTATGTATATATGTTTTTGTTTTGTTTTTTATAGACTTGTCAAGCGTTTTGGCATTCATTCATTTCGTGGGCCAGACTATTCTGGCCATTAAAATGAAAGAACCAGTTAACACACCAGGCATATTTTCTGCCCAAACACAATTTTTGGGAGTTTGAATTTCTGCTTCTAAATGCCTGTAAACACCTATGTATGCATGGACACATAGGCTAACATAGAGGGGTGTTTAGGGGCAGGAAAAATAAAAGTAAAACAGGAGTTTGACAGCTGCAATGTATATCGAGGCCTTAGGCTACTTCCATACTGATCTTCGGCAAGAACAAATAGGTGTTTTTGCCACACTTTCTGAGCATTTTGTAAAGGACACATGACTTAAAAACTGTCCCAAAAATGCTTCTCAAAGGTGTTTTTCAGGCATTCCTAAGGCGTTTTTCATTGATTTCAATGGAAAGCCCCAGAGATGCTGCAAGTAGGAGTTTTTACACCAGCACCGCAAGCGCCATGCCTCAGTGTGAAAGCATACATAGTTATACATTCACATACACAGGGAAGCAGTTTTCTTGAGCTTTTCAGGCGCTTTTTTTAACCCAAAAACTCAGTGTAAAAGTAGCCTTAATCTAACAAGTGTAGAGATGTCATATACCGTATATTTTTACATTTCTTTATTGTGTACTCTTAGAGCTCTGCAAAGAAAAATGCACATGCAGCTCAGTATAGAATTTCAGCAGTGACGAGATGACAACTCCTGTGCATGAGCGGGAGTGGTGTCACCTTGGCCCAGCATTTAAAATGGCTGGGAATCAATACCCAGAAGCCGCCAGGCTTGTCATCTCTGCTTTAACCTCCTTGGCGCTATGATTATTTCAGATTTTTGGCGCTGAAAGCGGTACCATTATTATTTTGCATGGAAATATGTAGTTTTTTTATTGTAGGCTGTAATATTTAGGAATAACTCACTGAAATCTGTCCGAACAAGAGTCTATTAAACATCCGGGTATGATAAAATTTGAAACACAAAATCATAAATTAGAATTTAATAAATAATCATAAAAAATAATCTAATAATAATACATTTAATTCAATAATATCAAACCAAAAACACTGAAATTTGAAATATAGCGGCAAGTTCACACATCGCTGAGCAAAGTCGCAAAATTGTTTTCAGTGTCTGATGACGAATTTCCCCACAAATCATCACTCAATTCTGCAAGTGGTTCTGATTTACTATCGCTGTTCTCTAGCTGGTCTAAACCCGCTTTTGTCCTAAAGGGACACTTTTTGGACGCCATGGACTTTTCTCAGTTTCCAGGCAGAAAGAACAGTCAAAATGCAGACAGGGGACAGGACAGAGCACTAGGGACAAAATGTATGTGAAATGGGTTGAAACAGCAATGTTTTACTATATAAAATCATTTTGAAAAAAATGAAATGTTTTTAAAATTTTCAAATTTCCCGCCGCCGGTGGTGCCCGTACGTCCCGACGTCACAGGGACCGGAACACAGGAGCCAGAGGAGATGGGGACCGGGGACACTGCAGGGGACACATCGCGGGAGTGAAGGACAAGGTAAGTGCTGCAGGGACTCCCTATGCAGCGCCGCATGGTAAGCCCGAGTGTAGCTCGGGGGTTACCGCTTTTGGTACTGACATTTTACCCCGAGCTACACTCGGGAATACCACTAGGGAGGTTAATAAATAAAATTCTGTTTTTCCTTCTGTTCTCCTGGATTATAGTTTGCAGAAGACAGATGTACTATAAAGCCTTAACTCTTACAGGGTGTGCAAGGTGACCATTTGCCAGTTTATTTCTGCTCACATCTGTAAAACTGATTTTAAAAGGTAAATGTTGGTGGCTCAAAATGTAAGGTAAATGTCTGGCTATACTCTTAAAGTGAAAGTCCAGCCAAATCCTTCAATATTTACACTTTAAATGGTTCTGAACAGAATATGGAAGAGTTATTTATAGTGGGCATGTATAATGGGCTGCTCTAAGTCAGTGCAGACAGATACAAGTTGGCCAATCCTGATAGCAGCAGAAATTTGAATTTTAAATTTGATAAATTCCACGGAGAACAAAACAAAATGGGCTTCATTCACAAAGCTTTATAACAAGGAGAAAGTTCTTCATTTTAGCCAAGTGCCTGTCATTTTTCAAATCCCAATGGACTCTGCTAAAAATAGCTGCCAATGATGGTGAAAATTGGTCACCTGGCTACAATGAAGATTCTTCTTGTTCTAAAGCTTTGTGAATGAATCTCCTTTTTGTTTTCATGGCCCTGAAATGTAAAAATAACTGTCACTGGCAGTTATTTTTAAACTGAATTGGGTGAGAATTGAAATTGCAGTCACATGACTGGAAACAAATTTTTTTAAATCCTTGCATTGAAGGTTTGTGAACGGTGCCTAATATTGCATGCAGTGTCTTACTGTTCACATTTTATTTAGAAAGCAGCCACAGCCTAAGTTGGAAAGCCTGTCCCCTACTAATTAGAAAAAAAAAAAAAACCTACAAGTAAACTGTAATGCTAAGGGCTGGATCACACCAGATGCAGTTTAGTACATTTTTTTCTGCATCAAAGTGGCATGCACAGTGTTTTTCATGTACTCCAATGGTCCTAGTTCACACCAGTGATGTTCGTTTCTGGTGCCGATAAAAAGCAGAACATGATGCATTTTTTTTCTGCACAGAACTGTGCTGGAACTCATCAAAAACAGATGGAATGGAGTGTAGTATGAACTGTAACAAAAATGCATTTGGAGTGTGTTTTTGTGGTGTGAGCTGGCCTTAAGAGTGGGAAGGAAGATAGCTGAATGTTTATGGCACAATAAAAGTTCATAACTTTCCTCTAACCATGGTAAAATGCCCCAAAACATCAATCTAGGTATATTAGATCAGTGTTTCTCAACCTCTTTTCAGTAAAGGCACCCTTTGAAATTATGGACAGCCTTGAGGCACCCCATTCTAAAATATGAAAAACTATTCTAACAGTTTTATATAACGCAGCAACATCCACACATGCAGGACACCCAACATTAGAGGGGATTTATTCTTCCAAAGCAAACACACCTTTGCACACTGGTACTGACTAGTATTCCAATGTTTCCCTTCTCCCTCAGTTTTTTTCCATCACTGAGATAATCTGACCCCAGTACTGCCGCAGAAGGGCAAGGGAGGGTCAAACTAGGATGCTGTGCAGGCATCCTTATCAACTGATGATGTCATTGTCAGGACTCCGGCAGCTAGAAGGTCATAATGGTGCACAATGAAAACCTGTGGCTTTATGTAACTGAAAGGCAGGCTTGTTCCACCTGCTGTCTTGTATACAAGTTTTGGGAATTTTTTTAGCCATTTTTCCAAGGCACCCTTAAAGAAACCTCAAGGCACCCCAGGGTGCCTGGGCATCCTGGTTGAGAAAGGCTGTATTAGATCATTGGAGTGAATTTCTTGTATTAGGGTGAACTCTACACCAACCGCAGCATCCATGTCAGAAATCTTGGGACAAGATCAAGCCTCAAAACAGTAAAGGCAGGACAGTGTCCATAGCATCAAGCATTAAAAAAAAAAAATATATATATACATATTCACTTACGTGCAAGATAGAGCTCCAGCTTCAGTCAGCTAAGAGCAGGATCTTCACGTGTCAGGGTGCAACATGACAGGTCTGGGGAGAGTTCCAGGGAACACTTGGTGGTGATGGTTTGATAAAGGGGCAGAAACCCCAAAAATGTGTTGCCTGTTGGGTGGTTTCTCAGTGATTGCTGGCCACTTCTAATTACCAGCCTGAGGTTGAGCTGCACTGTTGTGTGTTTCCTGGATCTCTCCAGAAGTGTCGTCCTGTTGCACCCTGAGAGGCGATGATCCTGGTGTTGGAATGCATGAGGCTAGATGTTTTCCTTATATGTAAGTGGATATAACACTGCTCTGCCTTTTCTGGTTAACTGTCCCCTGTCAGCATGCAGTAGAAAAAGACCCTTGTTCTCTGGGTGAAAGCAGTGGTCTTTATTCACAGCTAGAGCTCCCCAATCATAAGAGAATATGGGAGGCATTTATCAAAACTGAAGCAGCTGTGCATGCCAAACAGCGTCTTGGCTTCAGCATGTTCAGTTAAGCTTTGAAAATGAAAGCTAGATCTGATTGGTTGTCATGCACATCTCCATGTTCTGGCTGCTCCGGCATTTACGTCCCACTCAATATTAAGGCCAAAAGGGGCATACGTCTTGAGGGAATAAATCCATGAAGTTTCTAATTTAGAGATTTCTCGTCTCACGTGATTGCACCTCCAATTCGGTATAAACTTACCGATTGCTAGAAACAAAGTACCATCTGGACTTTTATTATGGTGTGCTGCATAATATTTGGATAGGCTATGATTAGGAAACCCTCTACAGATATATAGGCACTTTTTTTTTTTTTTTAATGTTTAAGCTGTCCCAGGACTGCAGAATTCCATACATCCCACTAGACCTCACAATTTGTGTGCATTTGCCCAAACCCTTAAGTTTCTATGACCAGATGACTTCTATGACTGCGCTCGGTGTGAGTCTTGGGACATCCACCTAAGAGGCACCAATTGGAGTTATGTGAGTAGGCTACATTTACAAGTTGGCCGCTAAGGGACGCTAGAGACCCCTGAGGATGCATATTTGTGAGAAATGCGGTGGGTGTATTGTAAGGCGAGTTATTGCGCCACCACATCGGTTTCCGGAGTGGCGGTGTGAAATGTAATTCAGAGCAGCTGTTTTTAGTATTGATTTTATGTGATTTTACTGTGCTGCTACTTGATTGGTTCGTAATAAATACTACACTATATGGCATTTTATTTTGGTTGCCTTGTGGTGGTGTTTGATGGGAAGAGTGGAACAGTGCCGCCTATGGAGATGTGATTAAAGTTGGTGGGAGAGAAGATTGATGCCAGCGCTCCAATTTGTTCGGATGCGTTACCTGCTGCACATCTCATGAGCAGCACACATTGATGGTGAGGGCGCGCGTAATGTGGGTGGCGGAGCTTTGTACACACACCGTATCATGGAGTGTCACTTATGCATGGGTGTTGAACTCTATTACACATGAGTACTACACTATATATACAGTAATTTTATTTGTTTTTGGTGTCACATCTATACAAGTCTCATAATGCGAAGGAGTGAAGAAGTCCCCCAGGAGCCACACAAGCAGATGGATGGTCTTGTGATGAGTAATTAGCTGACGCTTAATTTTATATCAAGGCAGCATATATTTATGGCGAGTTGGCAATTCTGATTTCAAGGGGTGGATAGTCTGATTTTTAATGGAGGAAATCGAGTACAACACATACATTCCAGAGACTACAAACTAATTTTTGTGATATCAAGTTGATGGGACTGTCATTTTTGGACTATTAATGTGATGTTATAGTGCTGCATTTTTAACAAGAATTTTTATCACTCCAGGTTTCTGTTCTTTATCTGCCCATTAGCTGCCAATCAGATTGATCTGTGTCTGATCAGCTGCATTGAAAGAAACAGGAAGTATTTGGGGTTTAGTAGATTTCTCCATAAAGAGGGCCTGTTACGGCCCATGCTATCACAAGGGATGTTATTCATCTCTTGAGATAGCAATAAAGTTGATAATTTAAAGGGACAATGTAAAAAAAAAGGTCTTTAACCAATTCAATACCGGGCAATTTTACACCTTCCTGCCCAGGACAGTTTTCAGGTTTCAGCGCTCTCACACTTTGAATGACAATTGTGCGGTCATACAACATTGTACCCAAACTAAAATTTTATCATTTTCTTCACATAACTAGAGCTTTCTTTTGGTGGTATTTAATCAACACTGGGGTTTTTATTTTTTGCTAAATTAACAAAAAAAAGACCCAAAATTTTGAAAAAAACATGTTTTTCTTTGTTATAAAAAGTTTACAAATAAATAATTGTTCTTCATAAATTTAGGCCAAGATGTATTCTGCTACATGTCTTTGGTGAAAATAACCCAAATTAGGATGTATTATTTAATTTGTAGGAAAGTTATAAAGTTAACAAACTATGGTATAGATCTGAATATTGATCAATCCTGAAGTACTGACAGCCAATCTAATTTCTTGAGGTCCAAGAATGTCAGAACAGTACAGATATCCCCCAAACGACCCCTTTTTGCAAACTAGACAGTCCGACGTACTTCATAAGAGGCATGGGGAGTTTTTTGAAGTATTTTTTTTGTCATAATTTTTCGGAAAATGAAAAAATAAAAAAAAAAATAGTGAAACAAATTTTTTTAAACATATTGTCACCAGTGCAGTACAGCGTTATCATATAAATGGCATGGTGGTGATCAGGGACACTGACTGGTGACAGTATGAAAAAAAAAATATATATATATTTTTTTTTTATTGTATTTTTTATTAAATGTTTTTTAAGATTTTTTTTTTTTTTTCATATTTCACTATGACCAAAGTAGTACAATGTCACCATAGTAACATTGTACTACTTTGGGGAAGTGATCAGTATTTTTTTTTTTTTTTTTACACAATTTGCTTATAGCAAAGAATTACTTTGCTATAAGCAAGCATTTACCTGAATGACATTGATTCATTCAGGGTTTTTTTTTTTTTTTGTGCTTAGCTGTGATTTGGCCACAGCTAATCACATGACATGTGCATGTGATTAGCTGT